TGCATATATATTCGTATATGTATATGTGTATATATATTTACGAAATTATATATGTAGTGTATATGAATACATGTATATATGCGTGTATGTTTGTATAAATAGGAGTTTAGTGTAAAGACAGACATTTTTTATTACCTTTTAATCTTACTTCATCTTGAAATAATTTCTAATTAGACTTGAAAAATTAGAAATGTTACTCATCTGGAGATAATCTCAATTTAGATTGATCACTTAGATTTAAATTAAAAAAATTATTCCTTAACCATTATTCACGATATTAAAAATATTAAAATTAACAATATTAAAAATATTATTTTTTTGAAAATCTAAACACTTAATTCACTATCTAACGTTAACTGTAAAATTTAAGAAAAAAAGTTAAATATGTATAAAAATGGATGCGTGTGGAAATATGTATATATATATGTAAATATTTGTAGATGTATGTGCGTGTATACCGATGTGTATGTGGTTATATATGTAATTTTACATGTATATGAATATATGTGGATGCATTTACGTAAATATGTATGTGGTGTGTGTATATAAAAACAGTAATTTTTTACTATTACCTTCAAATCGAAATTTGAACTGCTAAGAAAACTTGATTGGAAATATATTAGAAAATACGTAATATTTATTGGAAACATCAGCCTGCATGTGGATAGAAAATGTGTTGAAAAAAATATTTAAAAATTCAAGAATAGTAAGACAAGGATGCATCTTCTCACCAGATTTATTAATTTAACCGCCACATCGAGACGTGTTCATATGAGGATTTATCATCAGCAGACATATTCTTAACATAGCAAAATACGCAGATGGCATTGATTTGGTGATCAGACAGCAAGTACTTCGAGACAAGGCAGTAAAGAAAAGCGAGAAGAAAAGTCTAACTCTAAAATGAGATAATGTATGGTCGTCATTAAAAAAGACAACCCAAGGTGTGAGGTACGAATTGGATACGTTAGAATCAAGCAGGTACAAAAAAAATTAACTAATTAAACTCGTAAAGTAGGGGTACCAAATGAAAGGCTCGTCAGAAACATTGGCAGTAAAGGTACGTTACAGTGGTGAGAAAGTGTCAGAAGCTGATATGCCAGGTCAAGACTGATAACATTGCAGATTCTTATTTTAATTCTGTCATGAATCTGTAAATACATACTAGAAGCACCAAACCAGAAGTGACAGTAGTATTCATTGCATGGACAAATGGTAAATGATTAAGATAGATTATAGCGAGAAAAAACTGTCTATGATGATACAGTAAATTAACCTTCCCAGCAGCAAACATAGGGATTGATTAAATATAATGGTTCCATTTCATGTCAGTGGAAAACGTTAGCCCGAGAATACGCAATGATTTACTCTTCTGGAGGTTAGCATCAACCATACTAATGGAAGGCCAAAAGATTCTCTAAGACGATTAAAAGCGAGCAATTTCATTTATAGTATCTGTCTATATTTCTGAGATGAGGAATTATGTTTAATTAAATTCTTTACATTAAAGAACATTGAAGAATTGATACGGACCCAATATGCCAAAAATATAGAGACAACTAGAAAAGTCTCACCAGAGGCTGGCACGAATTTCAAACCGACATTTCTACATCGATGCGGATTCCTATGACACATTCCTTCAGGTTTGGTACCAAGACTCCTCGTCAATTCAAGGAGAGCTTCTCTGGTCGCAGAGAAAGCAAGATACGCCCTTGTCTGAGAGAGAATCCAGTACAACCATTATAAAACAGAAACTACAATCTAATATCTCCCAGAGGCTCGAGGCGTTCTTCAATAAAATTATCGATGAAGAAGACGGAAAGAGGGTCCATCACAACCTGGATAAATTCAGACATGAATTTGATTCTGTCAAGGGCCGCCAAGTACGAAAATTAAGTAAATTGAAAGATCAGAAGATGACACACAAGGTTCAACACTAACCAATAAAGGCAGTCGTCGACATCAGCTGAGTACCTCTGAGGAGTCAGTGCTAAACAATTGTTTCAAATTCACCATAGCCATCAGGCGGATACCATACATTGCTCGAATCGAGGAAATAGCCTTATACAGCATCATACTGCCTACTGAAAAAGACAATGCTTCGTTTTGGAGGTGTTACAATTAACAAGCCATTTCTTGACCAAGTAAATAACAGATAGGATATTAATTTTGGGGTCAGCTGCTAATTTGACCATAACGAACCGATCAGACTTATCATTAAGACAAAAGTAAATAGATGTGTCATCACTATAGATATCAAGTTCAGAACCGATGACATCGGGAACGTCGCTGAGATTAAAGGTTCAGAGAGAGAGAGAGAGAGAGAGAGAGAGAGAGAGAGAGAGAGAGAGAGAGCAATCTACCTAAGGAGTTTCTATGAATGGATCGCAGAGGGAAGGCTAAGAAAGATGGTAAATTGTTGGACGTTACGTACCTTTAAAAAAGAAGGGAAGTTGTGGAAATCCACGATTATCTTGAAGGGACATAGAACATAAGAACTAAGTATTTTATTATAACTCACGTTATGAGTTCCATAAATATTGCACGAATATACGATTAGTTTAAAAAAAACAACACTATTAGATGGAATTCTGGAAATGATGAAAAGGAGATAGCAAACAATACCAAGGTATGGTACAGAATATAGAACATTATCTAAATGAAAGGTATGCAGAAATAGAAAGAAGGCAGATATATATAAAATAATAAGAGAAATAAGTGGACAAGGAACAGGAATATTTCGTTAGAAACAAAGAAAAGAATACTGAACTCTTATGTAATATCGGTCTTTCTATATGGCAGTGAATTCTCCTCTTAGAATTTCTCCTCCTAGAAAATGTAATACTCACAAGAAAGGTTGAATACAAGAGTAGCAGAGGAAACCAACGTATAACCTATCTAGCGAATTTGAGTAAATAGATGGCGGATCAAGATTTATGAGAGATAACAAATAGACAAAAAATATAAAGACCTGCAAAGGAATGAAATTGTAGAGAATCATGATCTCCAGCGTCCTGAAGAGACATAGCACAGAGAAGATAAACTTAATACTAAACTTATTTTCGTGTGGTATACAGCCACAATAATGATGCATATACGGCACCTAACGAAAGCGCAGATTCCTGAAGAAGCGTAGAGGTTATAACGACTGAAACATTGTGAGTATAATAATAACCGAATAGCAAGACATAAAAATAACTGCCTAACTGCCTATCAAAAGACTTCCAGCGTAAGGCTGTAATCATAATCTGAATTCTAAACTCATTTACTCACTATAGTGAGGCATATACTGCATCAAACAAGAATCGAACTCACGAGAGTAACACTGATATGAAATATTAGTTACTATATTTAATATGAGTACGTACCATACGTGGAAGTGTTTTTTTGTGTGTAGTTGTTATCATTCGATCAAAGATTCATAGATAAGTTATTTTTACCCTTAATGCAAGTGTGAAAGCAGAAGACATAGAAAAGCATAAAAAAACACATATGTGTATTTGAAAAAAAAAAAAAAACTTAAGAGTCAGTTTTAATGCACATTTTATGCATATATCCCATTATATTTGTGTCTTTCTAGTGTTTTCTATTTATTTAAATGCGATCTGGAATTTTATAGCAATGCTTTCAAAAGCAATGAAATGATCGAATTTCTTACAAGAACAACAAACATCTTTCCAAGTGAAATGCAAAATAAAACTTCAGTGATACTTATGCTTTTTTCTTTACTTGAAAGCAAAGTATCCAAAAAGAAGTTTTGTCAGACGCTTTTAAAACTTGGCACTTTTAAAACCAACTCATAAATATATACATAAAAATATAAAAGCAATTTTAGTCATGATAAAATTGCTTTTATATATTTATAGATTTATACAAGCGCCACTCCGAAAATAATACCTTCATGGATATAGAGAGCACAATAACACTGTTGGATTGAGGAAATTTTCAGCTACAAAACACAGTTCTGACTATACATTTTTGACAGCGAGGAAGAGCTTGCATGTTATGCTTATAAAAAATCTGCGCCAGCAGAGACGACCAACTGTAGCAATGGCGTTATCATTGTGAGGAAAATGTCCATGTAGTCCATATTTCATCGGTCCGAACTTTCGAAATTTCACCTTGTAATGGTCCAATTGGACTTTTCATGTGTAAGCGCCTATGAGACCCTAACTGGCAAAAGGTTTTTATGAGGAGCTAATGCTGCCAACGGTTCCAAATGCATGATAAGCCGATAATGCCCCCCCACCATGTACAATTCCTTCTTCATAATGTGTCGATTCTCGTGGATGAGGGAACGCGGTGCCTGTCATATTGTAGATTGAACCGTTGCAGGGACTCTCAGTAAATTGATGTTTAAACAACTGAAATGAATTACTCACTGCCTAACTGGGTTCAGATCTGGTGTTTGGTCTCTGTAAATGTTTTGCAAGAGTCGACAAATATCGATGGATGCAAATTTTCTGGATGGATAAATTCAATGAGATACTTCTGCTTTGTACGTATTCATGTCAAACAACATTACTACTTGTAAAAAGAAAATTATATTATTTATTTTAACTATTGTCATTTCACCAACTTCTGCCTGAGATATTGTTGACCAGTACAAAAGTACATATTATTTTCGGAGCAGCCACAGAAGAAAAAAAATATCTTCTTCCATTTTATACTAGATACTGATTTTCTTTTTGTACTGCATAATTTTCCTCTGGCTCCAGACGGGGTCATTTTTTCACAATTTACAAATAATGAAGAAAAAAAAATGTTCCACTATGAAGTGACAAGTTATATGATTCAGATAGTTCTTAAAATAAATAACCCTGTCTGGTAGCTGTAAGAAAATTAGTACTTACTGTATATCCAATAACGTTTGGACATTGCTGGAACTTATGTTGGAGAGACGAAAGAATGATATTAAAAAAAACAAAAAACATGAAAATAAAAAATAGGAAGACGTCAAATGAGTAATTTAGTGTAATTTTGGAAAAGATTATTATTACCTTTGCATTCGAGTGATGAGTTGAATGTTGACGAGTATCCTGCATTGCATCGACACAATCCTTTAATACGACGTACTTTATCACAGTGGGCATTCTGTCCGCATCTGTTAACATCATAGGTTCTGCATCGTTTTTGTATGTAAGAAGATGGTTCCGTATACTGTTCCAGTTTCGGTCCTGCAAAAACCAAAGCGAAATAAAATTGTATTGCCAAATGTAATTTTGAATCCAACCTTTATTTAAGGTTTTAAATTTAAAGTTGAACTGATTACTGTTTTTTGATTTGTAGTTTAAACAGTTTTAATTGTAAGATGTTTAATAAAAGAAAACTGGTGAAAAGACAAATTTATATGCATTCGTAAAGCGACTAATACACAAAATTTACATAAAAGCAGAGTATGATAAACAGAGAATACAAATTTTTGAGAATGGAAACATCTTATTTTTGGAAGCTATACTTTCTCGATGTAAAAATGAAGAAGATAGAACAAAAACGAAATTCTCATTAGTATTTTGATAAAAAGAAACCGGAGTTTGAAGATCAATTTACAAAATCTGTTTTAATGCTTCTCATTAACTCGCATCAATTTTTACTTTTATGTCTGAAGGATATTACTATTTAATAGCGACGTGAACATTTGAAATATCTAGGAAGCGTTTTAACAGAGGACGGTGAAGGTACGACACTTAACTTTGAAGGCGAACGGGGATAGCGAAAGATATCTTTCAAATGTATGAAGAAAAAGAAAAAAATCGTTAGAAACAAAGAAAAATTACTGAACTGTTATGTAATATCAGTCCTTCCATATAGTAGTGAATTCTGGACAATCCCCTCATAGATGCAGAAGAGGCTGGAAGTAACTGAAATGTGGTTCTACAGAGGGATGCTGAGAATACCATGGACCGACTATGTGAGCAACATTAAAGTTTTAGAGGAAATGTAAAATGACACATATACTAAACATCAGGAAGATATAGTTGAGATTTCTAGGGCGCATAATGCGGAAAGAGGGCTTGGAAAATTTGATACCCACAGGAGAGATTGAAGGCAAAAGGGAAAGAGCAAAACAATTTATACCTAGTGAACTTGAGTAAATGGATGGCGGAACAAGGTTTATGAATAACAAAAATACAAAATTTATTAAGAACTATCAAGGATAGGAAGTTGTGGAGAGTCATGATCGCCCACGTCGCGAAGGGACACGGACCATAGAAGAAGAACATTAGAGAATAATCTGTGCAAAACACCCACTTTATTGAGCGATAGTCGAATATTCCTAATCCATCAACAATATTGGAGCCGCAAATGATAAAATGAATATAGACGTTAAAATTAAACTAATGAAATGAATTCATACATTTGTATAATTCTCTAGCTTCTGAGGATGTATTACATTGGCAGTGTCTTTATGTCAATGTTCATATTTAACAGTAAATGGCTGACCGCCAAGGATTTAATGAAATATATAAAGTATTGGAGTTCTGGTACACCATTCGTCTTAAACAAAATTTGAAATGACAGAAAGTAAATATTAGTCATTTACTTTCAAAAACTATGGCCAATTTATTCATTATGCCAATATGAATTTGCAACCTAGTCTGCAGTGAGCGATTGCACGTATTATACCAAATTTTAATCTGAAAGCCACCGACATTACGACATCCAGCTCTACTTCTTCATGATGTTGTATTAGTTTATCATAAGCACTATTATTACTGTTTATGTGTGCAGCGTTATTAGTGAAGTTTCTTTTTACAGTCGGACGAATATCTTCATCTTTGTTGTTTCGATCATAACCTTTCGGACGGTGTACCCTCAAGCCTTCGTAGAGTGTCAGCCTATTTTAGATGTGATGACTAATTGCTAACTATCCTGGTAAATATCCGAGTAACCTTCCTCCTGTTTTGAACTGAACGCTTCATTTAATCTAGGATGGTAGAATTTTCTCGTTCCGTTCTCCACGTATAGGGATATCTTGTTATATAGTAAAATTAGTGACTTAATAATTCTGAGTTCAATTCCTGGGTTAGGATCATACGGATATATACAAAACCAAAAGGGAAGAGGTCTAGTGATTAAGCAAAACTCACCATCCCTAGACATAGACAGCGGAACATAAACATCGGAATCTACTTCCGAGGATTAAATAAAGGGTTCAGTTCGAAATTTCCTGAAGGATACTTTAATCACCAAACATCTGAAGAAGGCTGTTGACAAAAACTGCTGAATCACTGAATTCGTAAAAATAATGGAATAAACCGGAACTTCAGTTTTTCATCGTTTTTTTTTTTTTTGGATTTGATATTTTTTCGGAGTTCACACTGATTAGGATTTATCATACTATAAAAAATTCAATAAATTTCTCGCATAAATATCTCATCTAACGGCTTAATACAAAACTAAATAAACATATCTATAATATTAATAATAGTCGTAGTAATAACGAAGAGTCTCTATTAGATAATAAGCCATTATCATCACTATTTGGATACTTCATCGAAACTGCATTTGATACAGAAATATATATATATATATATATATATATATATATATATATATTATCTTTTACAATGAAATTAATCTGAATTGAGTGAAGAAGAAGCTCGATTATAAAAATGACCTCTTCTCTACATTCCCAACTCACCCCTCTTCAGATTGAGCGAGTTTGAAATTCCCAAACACTTAGTAACCGTTTTCTTTCTGGGGAAGAAATGTAGGCAAAGAAGAATACATTAGAATGGCAATAAAAGGATGGGAGGGATTCACGCAGGCGAGTCTTGGAAGGAAAGTTATTAATTTAGTGCCATCTCAAGTGTTGGCTGACAGCATTCTGTTTTTGGTTTTGGCTGGATCCCAGATCCACTCCCGAAATTTTAGGATTTCAAAACCAGAAGTAAAATTAACCCCTAGAAGCTGACGCCTTGTGAACAGGAACATATGTGTCTAAATTTATCTACATCCCCAAGGAAATATAGATTCGCGAAAATCTACTGTAATAGCTTGGGGAGTGGCACAGATCTTTAGGTTTATTTCTTATTCCGTTTTATTTGTAGACATACATTTCCAAAGAAGGAAAAACACTTTTCGAAATGGAGCAGAAAACCTTTTCTTTTTGCAGTCAGTTTTGTATATAGATGATGTACAATAGTAAGAATGTAAAAGGAAATTGATATATGCGTACTTAGTAGATTATTTAATAAAACGGACATTCTATGATAATATTTTTTACGAGGCATAATGACATTTTCTTCAGATATAATGAATATTTTAAAATATTTTTCAATGTAGACAAAATCAGCATTTTCGAACTGAAACAAATTTAAATCACGTATAGATATAGATAGTGGCCCGGCGGAGTAATGGATAGCGGCTCAGATAGAGGAATCGGAGAGCCGAGTTCGAATTCCAGTCGAATTAGCTTATATTTTTGGGAAAGGTATGAATTCTTTTCTTCTCCTCCCTCAGCTATGGAAAAAATAATAGGGCAAACCGGGTTTTATAGCCTTGGATGGCAACTGGTCTACCACAGAAAGAAATGGCAACCAACTGCGGAAAAAATATCTGCTTCGTCATTCATGTGCCGAAAGATACATGATCGTCTATGCGTGTATCACGCATGGCACATAACTGAGTGACTGATAGATAACTATAAAACCATAATTTCAACTCAGTTTTCTTTTTTCTTTTAGGTTTACCTATACCATTGTATTTTAATATTATTTTTGCCAGGAGTGGCGTTTATTAATCGACAATAATTTGTACATTATGTTACTTTCATTGGTTAATATTCGTCTGAGTAAATTATATTCGTTTTTAATCAAAATAGTATTTCCAGGTCAATACAGTGAAAACGACGTGTCCAGTTGGTTGGTTGTTTTCGTTTAGCAGCATATCAACACCGCTATGGGTTATTTAATGCGGAAATGTAAATATTGTGTACGAAATTCTATATTTTTCTTTGGAGTTAATGATGGTTTTAGTGATACAAATCTTACTAATTAATCCATAGCTGGGGGTAGAGGAGGCGGATTCTTATATTTCCCAAGGGTATTTGCGTGTAAGTGAATATAACGAATTCGACCAGAATTGCAACTCGGCCCTGCAATTAACAATTCTGAGTCATTATCAATTACACTACCTGCACATCGAAGCTTACAGCACCTATTATTCCTAAGCGGTCACCCATGTAGGAACTGGCCATGTTCGATATTGCTTAACTTTGGTGATCATATGGGAACCGATGTTTCAACGTATTGTCCAATGATAGTGTCTGGTGACAGCGGCCAGTGAAAGCCAAGTGTATTAAGTATGTTGCTTAATTTTATGTCTCTTGCATATTTGAATATTCACTTTTAATCTTCCCGAAATATAAAAGACAAATCATTTAAAAATGATGTAAAATTCAAATAAACCACATAAAAGCTCTTCTTCTTCTGTGTTAAAAGTGGACCATAATTTGTAAGGTAACTAGCGCCAAATTTTATATAACTCACTGATCTTTGTACTCAAAAAATAAGCCCCGGAAAATTTTGCGCCGTAGTTTCTGGATTTGATCTTTTTCCTTTTCGACTCGTGAAGTTTTTCAACAACAGCACAAAACAGGAAATTAACCAGATCAACAAAATGCCAATAATCTTCAGGAATATTTTTTGTAAGAATTAAGAATCCAAGAAAACATCCATAATTTTTGCCTAATTATACCCACTGTTAAACATTGTCAACAAAAACAACACCTTCAAATATATTCAGAAGTATCGCTCTCGGTTTCAACAAGTGCAGCAGGAATATTTTTCTGGAGAACAGACGCGAACAGTACAGCAAATATTTGTTGCTGAAAAACTCTCTCTCTCTCTCTCTCTCTCACACACACACACACACACACACACACACACACACACACACACACACACACATATATATATATATATATATATAACTCATTAGTTACTTTACTTGAGAGAATGATTCTCTTTTCACAACTTCTTTCTTCGTAAAACCTGATTTGTATGGACAGTAAGATTTTCATCGTGATAAATTGAGGACATGTTTTTTCCTTTAATCAATTTTTCATTTTACACATTTCTTTATTGGTTACTTCCCTCCTGTAAAAAATATAACTGGCCAATATAATGTTCCATTTGAAGGAAAAGTCATTATTACTTGCCAAACAGAAAGATGACAGTATTTTTTTCTAAATTTTCATCAGGTACTTGTCAAATACGAAACATCTCAAGTAGTTTTTTCAAATTGTCTTTTATATTTACCATTCTTTCTCCCTCTCTGTATATATATATATATATATATATATATATATATATATATATACTCTCTCTGGATATGATATATATATATATATATATATATATATATATATATATATATATATATATCTATGAATACAAAGAAAAAGAACAGTAAGATATATAATCCGGTGTACTTATAGATATTTTTATTTTTACAAAATAGTGCTCAATATAAATTTACAGAGCATTAATATTATAAATTAATTGATTTAAAATATGGCTTTTTTCGCTACACAGTTCTAACCATGTTTCAAAAATGGAAGCTAAAAGCCCCGAATTTAATTTTGTAATTAAATTAAGGACATTAGTTCCATTTCATCCTCAAGCGAATTTTGGAATTCGCTTGAGGATGAAATGGAACTAATGTCTTTAATTTAATTAACTGTAGTGAAAAAACATATTTTAAATCAATTAAATTATATATATATATATATATATATATATATATATATATATATATATATATATATTTCGTTGAGTATGTTTTTCCAGCATTATTGCATGTTCACGTTTGGTAGGAGTAAGGAAGTGCAAAAATTGACCGTATTGTCAATTGTCCCCAAGCGCTTTCGGGCCACGTATTTAGCCTTTTTCAAGGGCACAATTCGGACAATTTTTACACTCCCTTACTCACACCAAACGGAAAAATGTAAGAATACGGGGAAAAAAATAAGTTTCTGCCCAAAATATATATATATATATATATATATATATATATATATATATATATATTATAATTTTATCATATAGACAAATTCATTTTACTCACTACAAAGATGCAACCAGGTTTCAGTGCATTTTAAATGCACTTCGACGGGTGAGAACGGAAAATGGTTATGAAAAATCCTGCTTGTAGGCAAACCGTATGTGAAACGTCACTTCCTTTTTCCATTTGTTTGAGAAAAAAATATACATGCTAAAAAAATAGGTGACGGAGTAGAACAATAATGCTTGTTGATAGCAGTTTCGTAAAGAATGGATTGGGTGTTTAATGTTGAGTGGTCCGTGAAATTTGTTTTGCCGATATACACCGGTCAAAAATTTAGGCACATCATCTCACAAGCGCCCCAAGAGTGAGAGGTAGGGGAAGAAAGATGGAGATAGGGGATATAATTACGTTTTAGTAGGTAAAAATTGTAGCGATAGTTCTAGTAGTAATTGTGAATATTATTTGTGGTTGAAATGCACTGAAACCAAGTTGCATCTTTGTAGTGAGTAAAATGGTTTTGTCTATATGACAAAATTATAATAAATAAATAATTATCGGTCTACTATCGGTATCGAGCCCTCTTTTGCATTAATGCTGTGAACGTTGGAATTTATATATTACTTTCGTTCTAATCGCATATATCATTGGATATATATATATATATATATATATATATATATATATATATATATATATATATATATATATATATATATATATATATATATATATGTGTGTGTGTGTGTGTGTGTGTGTGTGCGTGTGCGATAGAATAGAAAAAATACTAAAAGAGAATATATTTAAAATCTGCACACATGTATTCGGCTGGTCAGAATGTTTGTTCCTTCATTTTTACTTAATAAGGAAACGAACCTTTTGACCAACAAAACATAGAATAAATATTTATATATGTTCATTCTTTTTAATAATAAAACTACTTCTAATAGTCATTTTCTCTACAGAAGCGCCTACATTTAAATACATACATACACACATCTATGTAATAAGCAAATAAACATGCACAGATATCTTTTGTATATAATGAAGTTAACTGATTTGCATGTTAGCAACTTCTATATTCAGTTGGAGTGAACTTAAAATCTTATTAATGAAAGATGTTCTATGCTTGTGAATAAATTTAGCTCTCACTTGACACGTTTGAATGTTTTCGGCATTTAATCACAAAGTGCTAAAAATATGTGACAAGAGTTTGTAAACTGCAACACTTTCACATGAGAAATAAATAGAATATGTTAACCTTTGTCAGAAATAATCTGACAAAGGCATAAGGTCCATAATTATTAAACAAGTTTTTTTTTATGTTCTTGTTTTGAACATTAATATTTGCAACAAATATTATATATATATATATATATATATATATATATATATATATATGACATTTTTAGCTAGAAGATCTTTTGTATTATATAAGAGAGGTGAATTGCTATGTGATATCAATCCTTTTGTATGGCACTAAATGCTAAAGAAATCTCCCCCAAAATGTGAATCTACAAGAAATGGTGAGATTTCCAGTAAGTAACAAGAATTTCTTAAAGAAAATGGTCACAAAATGAATATTTTATATTCAGGATCAGAAATAGACATCTGAAGTTTCTTGGCCAAAAATAAGAAGAAAAAAGATAGTTAGGGGAAGGCAGCGTGATCACCTGCGTGACGAGTTTGTGTGAATGGATATCGGGACTAGGGGCAGGAGACATGGCGAAGTCAAAAACGATGCTAAGTGAAACAATCGATAGGAAACTGTGAAGAGCCATGATCGCCTACGCCCTCAAAAACACGGTACATAGAAGTAGTATCTTAGATATTTCTCTCTAAGATTTACAGTTATGATGTAAAGATATTTTGAGTTTGAGACATTGAATATGTTTGTGCATTTGTAAAATTTGTAAACTCTATAGTGTTTATTATGATACTTTCAAACGAATTACCTTAATTATCTTTTCTGTAATATTTAGATTTGAAATGGCTGAACTGTAATTAGTTTTGTAATATCAGACATTTTTGTAAAATAATTTACCGTTTCCTTTTGGTGGATTTAACACTGAAATATGTTCTGCTGATTATATGCATGAAATGTTAGGGAAAATATTTTTAGTTGCAGAATCATTTCAATATGCTTCAGTAATGCTTTGTAAAAGCCAAAACAGTATAACTTCTGTGGTTTTAGTGCTAATCAACACCGTTATCTTATAACAATTAACCCCTTTTTAGGGTAGACATTTCATTATTTGTAATAAAGAGAGTGTCAAAATCTCAGCAAAGATTACTTCAGAAATTAACCGGTAAATAGATCTCTAATACCGAAAAAGTAATTAAAATATCCTTTTTTCCATTTTAGCGAACCATTTATCAAAACTTCAGAATTTTTATGTGTCTGTTATTTTGGGGGAGAACCACAAACACGAATTCACATAATCTACAAAGCTCATACAAAATATTAACCGCTTAGAATAAAAGATTTTAAGAAGAACATCAAGTTGTTTGTATGACTGTATTAGGAAAAATAGATTTGGACGACATATCGAAGACTAGATACTGACATTTATTGATAAACCGCTGTAGTACCTTAATAAATATAGCAGCAGTAACAGTCCTTAATAAACCTAGTATCAGCAGCAGGTGTGGAGGTATAAAAGAGCGCGAACCCTTAAAGTAATTCTCTTCTTGTGACATGAACTTTTCACACTGAAGCAAAAGAGGCTGTGGACGCTTCACACTAAAACACGTCTACACAGGCAAGTCACACTGAAATAAGAGTTTGTTGTGTGTGCAATTTACTTATAGGAAAAAAAAACTAGTGTCTTAAAGTTTTTTGTTAATTTTGTTATAATAAATGTTATCTTGCATTGCAAATCAATTGGTCTGTTATTTTGTGCATGTACCTTTTTGTCACCGTTATTTCATGTAAAACCTAAATATTCTCGTAAGAAACCTTACACATTAATTATTGAAGTAGGTAACCCATTAAACATTAATCTAAAACAGTTACAAATCACAATAAAAACTAAGCTTTGTATTATTGTTTTTACAAGGTCTACAAAATAACTGCTTTAGTACAAATGATTTTAAAACGTTAGTGGACTGAGAAAAATATATTTAGTTGTGTTTTGACCCTGAGATTAAATAAAACGTAATAAACTTTTCTTTTTAAACTAAAATTTACCCCAAACACATTTTTGGTTTTTATTCTACTTACCAATTTTGAACAGACCATGTCATTTACTAGAGAATCTTCTGTGATAATTAAAGCCGACTTACTATTGACGCATCTGTTTGGATGTGGCCCGCTCTGAAATTCTCCTGTGCATACACAAGTCCGGTTACTGACACAGACGGAGTTATTTAAATTCACTTGACAGTGCATTGTCTCTTCGCATGTATCACCAATTCGCGTAGGATCTAAAACAAGAAACACAAAGTAAAGGATTAGAGCAAATCTCTATAAAAGGCGTCGTTTTTAACTTATATAAAAACACTAAATATTTTTAAAAAGTAACAAATTTAACAGAGTTCGACGTGTTTTCTTAACCTTTTCAAATTAAGCTATGAACATTTATGAATGTCAGTTGCAAGAATATTTAAGCACAAGTCTGTAGTCTAAAGATTAAAACCATTTATTTTATACTATAAATATTTTCTCAGCTTGGTCTCCTTCCTTACTTCAAATTGAGCAAACGATATAGATTACAAATTTTAGTTGAAAAATTCAGCTAAAAGTTTCAGTTGAAAAATTCATATAATAACTCCAGATCAGGCTACTGGTTTATTGTTCATCCTCGTATTATAAATAAAAAAAAACATATATTTCTATTGTATATAGAGTAGTGTATTCGACAGTAAATGTAATAAACAAATTTAAAAAAAAAATCAGATCTATATTATATACATCGGTTCACATACTGAAAAACCATACATGTTTTTGGGGTGTGCTGAAAAGTAGTAGGCTGACAATGAAGGAGTGATGCTAGAGCCGTGAAATAATGCATGCATAAATTTCAATTTTTATTAATAACGTCATTTAGCCCATAGCTAGGAAAGGAAAGAATGAGAAATAGGTTCATGCTTTTCCCAAGGCCATTAGTGCAAAAGTGAACATAGAAGATGCAGGTAGAATTTTAATTTGGTTCCCCGATTTTACACCGATAACCGTAACGCTATCCGCACAACCGAAATAGGAATAACAGGGAATAATAAACGTTAAGACGGAAATGTATGTTGTGACAAGTTTCGATAAGAAGTCTGTTATTTTTCTGAAGATATGTGTGTAAAAAAAAAGAATAGATTTTTTTTACTTTTTAATCAGAAAGATTTTTATTACTTAAACTTTATTTTTAGTGGAGACTCGTATTTGAGTATATACTTCAAATAAGAATATCCGCTAATAATAAGGTTTAAGTAATACAAATCTGTCCGATTAATAAATTAAAAAATCCATCCAATTTCTTTACAAATTTTTTGTTTACGTTAAGATGCCAAACTGAGCAGATATATCTATTTCGAGAGTCAGAGAAAAATCTGTGCTTAAAGGCACTTTTCAGTTTTATTTGGTTATCAGTTTCCTCTAGGGGAGTACATGATTGAATCTTGCCGGAGAGAGGATATTTTCTCTAATAGGATTCCTCGAATATTTTGAACAAGAGACGAAATAAACGGAGCATCTACTCAAATTCGAGTATCAGTGAAAAATTTAATGTAAAAGCAAATGGCGCTGCCAATAATATCTGAGGATACCAGTCTATTAAGGCGGCTGGCTAATCCATGTTGCAGACACCTGCTTAGGCACATTTTGTATTTGTTCAACGCCTACAGGGCCCACCTGTGGTTTATACTGCAATTATGCTGAGAGGATATAAGTTACAGTTTCTGGGAGAGTGTGCCTCATCTAGCGTGATTAACAGTCTAAACAAGTCCAGCACGCTAAAACACTCGGTCACGATGACTTGTGACTTTAATATAAACTATTAAAATGTATTATATACAGAGCAATATGATATACATCAAAGGATGTAACACATCACGAAAAATCTGATAATAATTTTTTTAAAGTTTTAATCAGACCGGAATTTCAATACATTGTGTGGATAAATTTAAATCATTTTGTAATTTCGGTCTGATGAGGCAGGTATTAAATCTTACCAGCTGAAAAAAAATATATTATCGGATTTTTTCATGATGTATTAAGCTTTTCCTTTGACGTATATATATATATATATATATATATATATATATATATATATATATATATATATATATATATTAGAACAATAAAAGCAGGCATTAAAAAGCCATTAATAACAAAAAGGAGGGTTAATAAAAATATATTACCCTAAATTGCTAATACCAAAATATAACTATTACAGTTTATCGGTCCTCTCTCATCGGATCAAAAATTGAAGACCAAAAATGTGGACACCGACTAAAAATATACATCATATGAATGTTATATGCAAAACAAAAATATATCATTAAAGGCTTTAAATTAGTTAGTGTGCCAACTAACTACTTTTGCTTTATAGAGAGATCGTTGGTAAGACTTAATGTATACTAATTCTCAAAGCCCTCAATTGGTAAGCGGTGTTAGCCTTGCTTAGAACTGAGAACAGTCTATAAGACCAGGCCCGGTTTTGATTTTATTTAAATGTTCAGATATCGTTGAACCCAGAACATTAATGCATAAATTGTCCACCTTTCGCTTATAAAAGACAATAGAAAAAGTTTTTGCGCTAACACAGTTTATTCCTTTACGTAATTTATCCTGGCAAGTGTAGAAATTTTATTTAGTAACTTGTATTTATACTCATATATTTTAGTATAATTATCTCTAGGTAAATATGAAATACAAATAAATTCCCCCAAATTTCCCCAGTTTTCCCCCAAATACCTTTCTCTAAATCATATATAGACTGTAAATTCTTTCTCATGAATTACTTGATACTTCCTTTTCGTTTTCATGATGATTGTGAAATAGAAAGTAAAATTAACCGAGAAATAATATTATTGTCCTGAAAAAGGTTTTCAAATCAGTGCCGGAAAATTTTTATTATATTCAAAGAGTCTTAAACGGGGAAATGTGCCTGTTTCTTGTTTTTGCAGTTAACACAGATACCGAGGACGAGTCAAGTGAAACCTGTCTAATGTTACTCAGCGAACACGCATTTGCTATTTTTAGGCGAGCGATAATAAAATAAAACTTGTTTTCCCTTTCAGAATTTGCTTCTTTCCAACATCAAGTATCCAATTTGAACTTTTATTCTACACTGCTAACAGAAAAAGAGATATTTGGTTTCATATTACAAACAGTGTATGCATTTTGAGAGATGTGGTGTATGTTGCTTTCGTTTCAAGAATTTAACTTATCATTTCTATAAACAAATTTAAAAGAGCACGTGTATAGAAACAGGAGATTTTTTTTATCTGTTCTTTCTTGTTGGTAAATATCCTATTCTAGCTTAATATTTAAGCATTAAACACGAAAGAAAGGAAATTTTATATCTAGATAAACTGATGCGTAAAAATATCTGTCTGTTTTTCTGGTTTACATAACATTCTGTAAATTTTCCATTTGGTAATGAAATAAAAGAAAATCTTTTTCTTTGCTTTTTTTTGTTGTATCCGTTAGTCGCGTGTTGCTCTCTTCCGGTCAGTATATCAAAGTAAAAGCAACGTTTATATTAAAGTACACTACATTTTTTAACTTGATGTTTCGCAGTATTTCTATTTTTTTACTTTGAATATTTCAGATATAATAATGTTAATTATTTTACCCGAATTTGTTTAGACATTGATAAAATTACCATATTTCATTTCTTGTACACTCTGGAAGTTTCCTGAAATAAGCATTTATTTTTATAACATTACATTGTATATTTAAGTATGCTTATGCGATAATTGTGCTTGGTAACTTTTTGATGATAGGTCTTCTATGTTATGCCTTGAGGAAAGCAAAGACTAAAGGTTTATTCCTGCCTTATTAAAGGTTAAGGAATTTAACATCCAGTTTAAACTATAAAATGACAAAATACTTAAGCTTGAGATGCGTCTAGCTACTTTTCAGGGCGTGTCAGTGCGACCGGGCGAACTGGCTCAGACGCTGCTCTAGTTAAGTCATTCTATTGGTGTATCTTGCCCTTTCTACTGAATGGAGTATATATATATATATATATATATATATATATATATATATATATATATATATATATATATATATAATTAGAACACAGTTATTGGTAAAGTTGAATTAGACCCGGAAACAGTTTTATTAAAAAACATATAAAGAAAAAAAAAATAACGTGGAGAGCTTTACAAATTAAAAAAAATAGGAGATCAACAATCACGCTACCTTGGTTTCAACCTTTCTGTATCCCCACGCGATATAGGCTACGTTTTTAATATATATATATATACAAATTTATATGGAACACTTTTAATACTACTGTACTGAACACTTTTTTAATACGACTGTTTCCTGGTATGATTCAACTCTGACCCTTATATATATATATATATATATATATATATATATATATATATATATATATTAAATAATTTCTTTAAGATCGGTTATTTCGATAATTCTGGGCTGATAAGGGCAACTATATATATTTGAAACTCAGTATGCTCGATTTGTCAAGAAGGTGACTTGTTGATGTTATCAGTCTCGAGAAAGCGGTCCTAGCGTGCGTAACCTTTGGAAAGGGCCTGAAAACCTTACCACGGGTTGAACTAAATCTTGTGAATGAAATTGCGTTGGAGGAAATATTTGAAAACTGTCGACGGTTGTGCTAGCACGAAGTCACTAGAAATCATGACCGAGGATTTGAGCACACTGGACTTTTTCAGACTTTTCATCACGCCAGATAATACGATTTTCCACCAGAAACTATAACTAAGGTCCGCTCAGCATTGTTGCAGTTTTAATCCAGACGTGGGCTCCGTGAATGTTGAACAAACACAAATGTACCTGAGCAGGTATCTGCAACAAGGTTTGGATAATCGGTCTAGAAGACAGACATCCACGGATACAAACGGCTATTATATATATATATATATATATATATATATATATATATATATATATGCACCATATACCAAATCGTGCAACACCATAATTATTCATCCCACAAAATGTTTAATATAAAAAAAAACAACTTTTTTCCAGGTTTTCATCTGAAGCCGTTTAGCCATCTTGACACCATATTTTTGTTTTGTTTTGTGTCAGACCCTCTGTCTTTCCAACTCAGCAATGATGAGAGGAAAAAGATCATTCAGGCATTCAGTAATAATACCAACATTCATACTCTGGCTTCCATTTTTAAAGTACATTCAAAACCATGAAATAATGATGAATAAGTTTAGAAAAGAGGGAACAGTAGAGATTAAAACGGGCTCAGGAGGTCGCAACAGCAAGTGGGATTAACATTTGAATTTAGGGCTAAAGATATCAATGAGGAAAGATCCAACTAAATCCATAAGTCGTTTGGCATGTGAAAGAGTGGTTTCAGCTATGACAATCCAAAGAGCAGGGAAAAAAGATTTGAAAATGAAATGGTACGTGAAACTTGTAAGGTACATTGTTACTTCCTGACAGAAACTTATTAGAGAGGGCGAAGATCATCTTTAATAAGTTGGAAAATGATCCTGGAATAATGCATATATATATATATATATTTGATTTTGATTTCAATCCTTCATAAGCTTCCGATCCTTAGCTATGAGTAATTTATGTTGAACATGTCATTTTCCTTTATGAACGGAGACTTCAAGTAAGTTATCATTTCTAAGATATAACGGATCAGAGCTTAATCTAATAATTGAACAAGTTTACTGTTACACGATTTTGACAATTTTACTGTTATACGCGGTATACTCGTGTAAAAGCTGACTTCTTGTATAGCGCGACCCCTGAATTTTTTGCATGAATTTTAACTCTTCCAGAAAATGCTATCTGTGTAAAGTGGAACCGGTCACCGAAAATGTATGATTTTTAACCTTTTCCAAAAAATTTCTTGTGTATAGTACGACTCCCTATGAGCAAAATTACTGATCATAAATACACGCACTATCCTCGAGTATATACGTACTGTATCTGGCATTATTAACCACAACCTATTATATCATTATTTTTAAAATGATTTTCACCCTGTACAATGTCCGTAAATCATTCAAGGCAAAGAGTACGAGGCATAGTTTATTCAGTTATGTGGAATGATAACGATAAGAGTCGGTTCCACAAAGCAGCGACTCGTGCGAAGAAGCTGCTCGAGTAGAACTTGTATCTCACTAATGGAATATGAAGGGAATGAGGATGATTCGCTTCAATGTGCGTGGAATGCCGGGTTTTATCCGTGAAGGTTAAAACTGGTGGAAATACGGAATGTGTTTCGTCCGAGCACTTTCCATGAAATAGCGATAGAGCAGTGATAAGCTTGCGGCGTTTCGTCTGTGAGAAAAAAAAGTTTGTAGGGTGGAATATATTTTGTCACCCACAAGGACGAGCAGACGCTTTGAAGACTATCGAGACTGGAAAGTGAAGACTGGGCAGTAAATCATTTTAGATCTGACCTGGCTCTTGTAAATATGGAAGATGTCAGAAGGAGTCAGGTACTTACTGGGGCGGTATAGGGATTTTTCCAGCATTTTTAGCAATGAATTTTATGCACGAGCTCCACTTGAGGTCTGATTAGAGTTTAAAACCCAATAGGCACTCACGGCACGGAGTCTTCCTGAAGGAACATCCATTCATCGATTAGCAATAATGGAATGTAAAAGGCATGGATTTCGTGGCCTCGTATGTAATCAGCCAGTTTTCCCCCCCTCAGGCGTTAGAGCTAGATCAGGGGAGGGATCAGCTACCAATCTCTGAGAAGTGACCTCTGGGAGACGCCTGCTTTGATTGCTAGGATCTTTGAGGATTGGCCGTTAACAGTTACCTTCAGGGCCCAACACGTAAGGAAAGACTTCAACTGAATATCTCTTCCTATGCTTCTATAGCTAGACAGCTCGTGTAGCAATCATTTATACCACAACTTGTCAAAGGCTTTTGAAATATATAATATGATAGAGCTTTAGCTGAATCTATTGTCTATTGCCTCACTGATTCTGTGAGTAATGGCAGTTAAGGCATCATCAGTGGATCAGGCAGATTGAAACGCGTACTGCTTGTCGCTCAAGAGGCTGTTCATATTTAGGTAATCAACAATCTTCTTGTTGATTACTGCCTTAAAAACCTTGATAATGAAACTGAGGAGAATGATTGGCATATACTGAGAGTTTCTTGAAAACCGAGCCTTATACTCGACACCTTCGACAGATTTGGGAAGGATTTCGCCTTCAAGCAGTGGTTAAATAATTTCGCTAAGATCGGTATAATTCCGGGTTGATAAGGACAACTACTGGGATTGTATCTGGGTCAGTGGCTTTCTTAGGGTCAAGAATTATGAGAAGTGTTGGGACTTCCCGGGCTGTAATAATAATAAAAAAAAAACTACCTAGATTTTTCTCAGTGAGACGGGGAAGTCGGAAAGAGAATGTCATATGTCATTTAACGGGAAGTTACAGTCATAAATCGAGGCGAAGAACCTTGGCTTATATGACGAGGATGAGATGACCTCGGAGCCATTTATAATAATGGGGTCACATATGCTTTGCCTACTGCTATGTGTTGGTAGTGAAACGGCTAACGGCATGGAAAGTGGCATCAGTGAATCAAGTTCAAATTCCCGACAAGTCTGTTACGTTCACAATCGCACAAATCCCTTTGGGAAAGGAGTAAATCTATTTATCTCCCTCATCTATGTGTTAAACAAAAGAGTAAACCGGTTTGTCTAGATTTAAGTGGAAGCTATTCTAGGATCATGATAAGTTTTTCCAGATACAAGTCCCATATTTAGCCCATATCTAGGGGAGAGATGGATTCATATCTTTCCCAATGGCATTTGCTCGTAAGTGAATGTACCAAGCACGACTGGCTGTGATTCTATAAAATTCTATAGAAAAATAATGGCAGTTCATCCCTACCAGATACATACGGATATATAAGATGAAAACAGTGAAAAGTACTAAATACTTACAGGGTATGCATTCTGTGGATTTTAAAGCTGGAAAGTGACTATCTGGACAAAAGCACTTGAATTCTGGCCGTTTGCAGATACTGTGTTTAACGACATTGCTACATTGGGAAGTGTTGGAGCAACGGTCACTCAGCCCAGAAGGGACTTTCCATTAAAAATCGACCAAAACATGCAAAAGAAAAAAAGTCAACATAAAAAATTAGGCTTAACGCCTTCAGGGTTTCCTTAATAGAATAGTGATAGAAATGTGAAATTGAAAATATAGATATCTAAAATTGTTTATACAGACGAGTTGCATCAAACTGCATACGTTCTTTTAAGTTTCAAAATGTTATTTCATTTAAATCTTACTTTAAAATAATTTCTCTTCTATAGTTATTATTACTTATTACAATCGAGATTTTTTTTCTAATTTCCTTCTTACAGGAGATCTTCATTATTTTTTACGTTTTTTCGTGATGTTTGTCATAACATCTATAATAAAGATAAGAAGAATTGTTCGAATATATCAAAGTCTATAGACAATTCCTTATCTCAAAAAAATTAAATCCAAAATTGGTTTTAATCTCGTGTTAATACATTAACTATTTTGTCAACAAGATTTTAACAAATTATAAAAAGCGGAGTATAGCAGCTTTTTATTGTAAAAGCAGTTAAATAGTAATCAGAGGCTTTTTAACGTTTACAAAAAACAATTGATTTATCATAAGAGCATTCGCAAATTGTGAATTTTAATATACTTACAGATGATGCAATGTCGCTGGTCTAGGCTGATAAAATATCCCTTCGGACAAAGACAGAACAAATTTGAACTCGTCGAGTATTCAGCACGGCTACAGCTGCTGATGCGGTCCAAGCGTCGACATTGGCTGGTGTAGATACAAGAATCGACCCCCAACAGTGTCGGTCCTGGTACCAACAATGATGAAGGGGCAACGTTTGGTCACTGGCCACACAACAATAATAACACTAATACTCGATGACTAAGAGAGAGAGTTACTTTGCCAAAGAAAAGTTAAGAAAAACTTGACTGATTATCAGTTACAAAGCAGATTACATGAGTTAGAATAAAGAAACAGTTTTAGATTTATATTTGAAATGTCAGTAAACATTTTCCAACACTTATTTACAGTTATATCTGAAATCTGTTCACGTATCAAATACAATTGTAGCTAAATATTCAAGTTATTTTACTACTGTTTTTTTATGTTTACTAATATTAAATACTGTATTTGCAAACTATTCTAAAACCAATGCATTTTCTTATTGAACAGATATGCTGACTATATTTTCTAATTACCGATAGTTCACCCAGTACAAGGCCCAAGCGGCACTCAAGTTAGAGGATTACTGGGTGAGGTTTTAAGAGAGGTGGAAGTAAGAGAGCATTATGATAACGAGTAAGATAGATATCTTTTGACCCTGGACTTAAAGAAATCAATATTGTAGTTTTAAGGGAAACATTAACTCGGGAGTTTGTTTCAAAAAGTAAAAGTTCTTGGGAAGAATGGAACTTGTTTTTTTATCAAAGGAACAAGAAATAAATAGGATAGTTTGCCACCGTGAACACAGCATAACTAAATATATTTGGCGAAATTTTACACCTAACATTTTTAAAACTGACTTCTGCTCTCGTATATATAGAAGGATTTAATCAGTAATTGTAAGAGAATTCAAATGCTTGCCATAATTTAGATTAAATTCTGACTTGATAGATTGAAAAGCTTATACATGGTGTTTTGGAAGCAAAGCGTAATCATGTGAGGTTAGTTATTGAAAGGAATAACATTAAAATAAACAGATAAAAGTATTGCTTTGTCAATACATGAGAATTTTAAGGCCAGTCTGCGGTTTTGTCTATTTGTCTGAAGTTAATAACTAGACTTTTTACAAAACACTGCTAATAAGGTATCGGATAATGGATTAAATACTTAGGATTCATATAATTGAATGTATAGAATGTTTACGTGATTTAAATCCTATTAAAGCGCTCATTTGTTGTATTGATATAGTGCTACTATTTACACTATTTACGTTGTTCGGACAGTTCAAACAATGTAAACAGTGTAAATAGTTAAAATACCTCATCTCAGAAATATAGACAGATATTGGAATATTGTTAACCTCAATTTGTGGAATCGGCCATTTTCAATTCTTTTTTTAATTATTACAGTTGTATAGTTAAACCATTAGATTTTACCAACTTTTAATTTCTGGTGCACCTTGAATTGAATGGCGTTAAAAGAAGAACATAATTGTAAGAAGTAAATAAGCAAACAATGAAGAAAACGAAAAAAAGAAGTTGAAGGAAATAACTCAAAAAAATAAAGCAAAAGTGAGAGATAATAAATCAACCCAAAAGCACAGAGTCGGGTTTATGCATATTTCCTGCTGAAATGAAGATATAACTTGTTATTTGTTAAATATTAAACATTTCGTCGCATAAAAAATACAGAAAAAGTTAAGAACAACAGAAAAAAGGAAATCATGAGAATAGGTTAAAGGATTAGAGTTTGGGATTATCTGAAAATAATCACAGTGTTAGAAATTTGAAAAAGAAACCAAAACTCAAGAAACAGATATAAAAATGATAATCTCATTTGCTTTTACAAAAAATAATTTTTCTGACTATACGTAATATTTGTACACATTCAACACGAAAAAAAACCATGAGAAGCATCACAAAGTTTGCATAGTGAGCAGTTCCCAGAGGGATTTTGTTGGAATGTTTATTGTTTACACATTCAGATATTTTTTTGGAATGGTCATTGATTTGCTTGAAGGGTGGTCGTTAGAAATTCCTTGAACTTTGTTGTTGTCGGATTTTATTTAACATCTGATTGGATGAATTCCCAAAAAATGTTTGGTTACACATTGATGCAATAGTTCAATTCAGACTGGAATTTCGAGAACAGCTAAATAAACTGTTCTCTTCTTGAAAAAAGAGTAATGTTAACATATATTAAGCCTTACCATGTCCGCAAAACTAAGCAATTTTATAAATACATCCATGATAGTGAAACTATGCGATTATTTATTTTGAAAAGATATTCTGCCAATCCATCTGGTATACTTTAGGTGGAGAAATGTAAAGGAATTACAAAAAAGGAAGGAAATAGTATTTTACTGATGGCAATATCATATTAAGAGCAAGTCGAACACTGATTCGTTGGAAGTAAATTCGTACCCGCCGCAAAAAAAAACACAGTCAACAGATGAGGACGTTATCTTCCTTAAACGTTGGAAGCGAATAGATTTGATTAAAGGTTTAAATTAACGCTTTGTTGATGTAAGAAGAGTATTCAGTGTCCGAGATGCTAATATAAATATATTTACACTGGTTACTGAAGTTTCCAAAAGCATTCAGTGAAAAGGTCTGAACCTTGGTTAGAAAATAGGAAAAATATTAATTTCTGCAAAACTCTATCTTCGGAGATTACATATATAAAGTTGCTGGCGTTTAACCAAGAAAGAGAGATTGATTTGAAACAAAATTCAGGATTATAAAGACACTTACCAGTGTGCAGATACAAAAGTTATACTCATATAATAGAAATAATATTAACGAGTCTATGAATAAATTAATCAAAAACACAAATATCCTTTAGGTAAAAACTGTTTTCGCACATTATTAAAAAATGCCAAGGAAAAAGCATTTGTTCATATCTATTGCAAAGTTTTAGCGATAGGAAAAATATTTAGAATAGATATGTTTATAATACATTGAACGAGAAAAACATACTGCATTATGTGAATGTATCTGTGTGTGTTTTTGTTAATATGCGCAGCTGTATGAACAATTAGGCGTACACACACACACTGTTGATGTACAGCTTGCGAATGTAAATTTTGAATCAGCAGTTTCTGATCAAATCCTAACGAGAATTAAGTTTCTTCAGGCCATCTTTCAGTAGACGGAGCTCAATATTTCAAAATATCATACCTGGAGACTTACATCGAGGAAACAAAAGCAAACATAAATCTGTCTTATAATATTTAGTATTATTTACTTACAGATATAAAAAGACATTGAAACTTTAGAGGAAAAAAAACTTATGCACCTGTGAACTTGTAAATTTATTTTATGTTTACATCATAGGTACTGGACATTGACGGCCTAGATAAAAGACATAAAAATCATAAATGCTGGCAGAAAATTTATTGTGTGAATGAGAAAACGTACACGGAGCTATCCGAATTTAACCATATGCTCGTATATATGCTGTTTGGGCGGATTTTGTTATATATTAATACTTTTAATCAACTATTGTTTACTGGCTATGTCGTTTCTATAGTTGTTAAGAATATATTGACTCTTGATTTATTATTTGCGTCCTTATAATTAGCTTGAAAATTCGATATTAATGGATTTATATGATCTTTTTTAATTCTATTCATCTTGCAATTCTCATGCTAGTGAACAGATTTCTCTGGTAGAATATCTACGATGAGGAATTATTTACATTCAGACTGATGTCCTTATCTTTTTTGTTGCACTTCAAGAAATTTCGAACTGTAAAAGTTTATTTAATCTACTATGTAAATTGTTTAATTTCCGTTGTCCATATTAACAGACTAGCAGCATGACCCGGCGTTGTCCGTGCTTGATTAAAAAATCGTACGACTCATACAGCAATCGCTATCACTTGACTTAAAATATTTTTGCCCTTCCTTGTCTTTAAAGGAGTGCCCTTTGCCGTGTTGATGTTGTTACATGCCTTACTTCTTACCTATCTCACACTGCGAATTTTTTCTAAGGTCTATACTAAACATTAAATCTGTTACGAAAAAAGAACTAAACAAAATGAACACAAAACGATCAGCTTTAAAAAAGGACTCGTAACTGGAAAAACCGAATGAAAAAAGAATGTTAACAACAAATAATTTTTCACACCCAACCCATTTCTGTGGAATCAGAATCAACGTTGAGTTTAAGCAAGCGAATGAGCCAATTGGAGTAAAGTGCCATGCGGATTTAAATTTTTCCCACTTGTGACGAATGCAACTATCTATTTTTTTGCATGCTAGTTAACTTTCGTGTCAGTCAGCTGTTGGCTCTCACGCTGGCCAATAGAATCTTCCTGCCTATTCGTGGCAGCCAGCTATAGGCTCTCACTCTGGCCAGTAGAAAATTGTCACAAACTACATTAAAGCTGCAGTAGAAGCATGAAAAATCTATTATTTCCACTATCGATAGGAGTTAGGAAATGCAAAGTCGGTCTTGGCTTTCCCGCCAACTTGGAGCATGTGCATGTAAATTTTGATGCAAATCCGTCGAAAATTGCGGCCGTGCGTTCGTTACACACACACACACACACACACACACACACACACACACACACACACACACACACGCGCACGCACGCACACACACACACACACACACACACACACACACACACACATATCCTGCCTTTTATAGATAGAGATAACACGAATTAACGTCTTAATCTTCTAGGTTCTCTTGCAGCGGAGAGCGTACTGGGTTTGACGATAAATTACATCTGGCAACAAGGTCTCTGATCGGAAGCGTAGAACCACCTCGTAGTTGTAGTTGTTCGCAGGTCCACCCTGACCCGGGGTGGCAGCACCTATTATGGTCCCAGCTATGGGCAAATAGTTATCTCTCAAACTGGAGTCAAAACATTATAAAAGTATAAAAACAGATTTTTATAGTAAAAATACCAGCAATACATTTTTGGAAAAAATACCAGCAATACATTTTTGGAAAAAAAAATACCAGCAATACACTTTTGGAAAAAAAATAATGCTAGCAATACATATTGGAAAAAATATTACCAACAATACATTTGACTTTCAAGAAAGAACCCTCTTTACAAAAATACGTAAAATTCTAAAATATTTGTTGGTGTTAAATAACATATTGAAATGTTAATATGCCGTAAAACAAAATGAACAAAATCAAAACAAAGTCAGTGGAGAGTTAAGTAAAATGAAGATTAAATTTAAGGCTGTCATTTTGGGATTAAGGATTACCACATGCTGGTTTGTTAATGTGGTGGCATAGTAAATGTGAGTTCAAACCCTGGACTGAGTAGTTCATATTCAGACAAAGTGGAAACAATAATCTAGCCGTACTATATGAAGCATAAGACGAGTGGGACGAGAATAATCTACCCACGAAGACTAAATAAAATTTCCAGTTCAAAATGGCTTGAAGGTTAACCAGATCTGCAGCCACCCGAGGATGGCAGGAGAGCACAAAGGGCTGAAACGTTCTGATAACAACAACAAAGAAGAGAACAATGTAGATAATGTAAATAATACATTTAATAATAACAATTTACACAGGCACGTGTGTGTGTGTGCCTGTGCTTGCGAACGTGTATATTTTTACCCATCTACTAACATTGATGTAGTATTCAACTACTTACCAAATAAAATCCTATATTTATAGACAATGATATATATATATATATATATATATATATATATATATATATATATATATATATATATATATATATATATATATATATATATATATATATATAGATAGATAGATAGATAGGTGTGTTTTGATTCTTAAATGCTGTTAGTTTATTTCACCCAACTCACCTTCTGGGAACTACCTCCCAATGCAAAACTATCGTATATGCTTCTCTATATATCGTAGATAAAATTCGATTAACAATGAGAACATAGTTGAAAATACATGTGTAATATATAAATATGAGCAAAAGGTTTAATCAAAATAAATGTAAAGAAATTGAAGCAGGTTAAGATTTAAAAGACAGCAACATTGTGTACTTACGTAGAACACAGACAGATGCATTTAACGTCGCATCGTATCCGCTCCGGCAAGCACATATTCCGGAGGAGCATACACTTTGGTTGACAGCATCATTACAGTCTGAATCTAATAAACATGTGCTGTCTCCAATTTTACCTATAGAAAAGAAAACAATTTAGTTAGCAAATGAATTGCTTAGGAAGACTAAATAAAAAAATGAAAAACATTTTAAAATGACCAAGCTCAACAGAAATAAACAAAAATGGCTGATAGACAAGAAAAATGAAAGGAGAGCATAATGACCTATTATGATTTCCGATAGTTTGAAAATAAGAAAGAAAATTCAACATAATGGTCATTCATCTCCATAAATTATTGAAAATTGAAATACCGAAAAAATTACATTTTCTAATTAATGGGAAAATTAAGCAAGACGAATTAAAAAATATGAGAAAGCAGATAGAACGAAATGTTTGAAACTCATTAAATTTAATTTCATTCATCTTGCGTTGACAATAGCATCATTAGATTTGTTTTATTGTTTAATATTTAAAAACGGTCAACATATAACATAAGTATTACGATTATAATAATAAATAATTATTGTATTCAATTTCTATTCATTTCCACACTAGTAATTGTGGCTTTCAATAGAGTTTAAGTATTAAGTTTCTTTAATGCTTAACGAATGTCTCATCGAGAAATGGACAGTGTTAGAAACAATCAGTCAGTTAAGTGCTATGGGGATTTACCAAGCGTAGCTTAAATGTGGCACAAGGCCGAAAGTAGAGAGCACCCAGTGAGGATCGAACTCATTACTCAGGCGTAATTTTTCTAGTGAGACAAGATTGCTAACCATTAACCGCCTCGGGTACCCCAGTTAAGTACTATACGTGATACACGCTTAGACGTTCATGTGTCTTTCGATCCAGGACTGACTCGGCAGAAGATTTTAAAGATAAAAAGATAATAGGCTATAAAAATATTTTTAATAGGATGTAGAAAATCTGAAATCTGCCAAAATGGAACGAATACATCTGAGAGCTCTTCCTTAACAAAATAGATGAGGACCGTACAATACATACAAATATGGAAGAACTGGTGGTTTTCAAATCTGAGGTATGATCGCCATTGTCCAAAAAGAAAAAAAAAAGCAATATTATCAAATGAGATTTTAACAGAGATGCTGTCAGCCGTAATGATTTCGGAATAACAGAATACTAAATGAAATATATGATACCAAAGAAAGCAGATGCATTTGATAGCAAAGTCCATTGGATAATTAGCTTGATGAAAAACTAAACTTATTATGATGATTCTAATAAGCAGAGTTCACAGGAGAATTAACCAGAAATGGGGTCAACATGATATGGCTTTATACAAAACACTGGAACAAGAAATATTAATTTTACGATCAGAATAATATGAAAATGAGTAAAAGTGAAATGCGGAGATACCTGTACATATATTTCATATATTACACAAAGGAATTTGATAGAGTACAACACGAAGAACTACTTGAAATAATAGAAAAACTTGATTTATAAGGGAACTATACTCGTATGATTCGAAACATCTACCGCGAAATAAAAAAGAGCAGAGAGACAAATATTCGTTTCTGAACGCATTATTTAACTTAATTTATTTAGCAAAGGAATTTTGTTGCAGCGAAACCATACTAAAAGACCTAATAGGATTTATTTTTGGCAGATATAGTCATAACAAAATATGATACGCCGATAACACAACTTTGATGGCAGAATCAGACAGAAAACTGAAAGAACTATGGTTGTCAGTAAAAGATATAGCTGGATATTGGGAACATCCCAACCAAGCAGCTACCAAAGCGCAATATTAAGAGAATGAGAAAATGCTTCATAATATATAATAATCTTTTATGGTAGTGGTAGATGAATCTTTACACTCAAATGTTGTTTTATGCTTAAACTGTTGGGTTTACCTCTCAAATCGCAATCAATTGCATAATTCTTTGTGTACTATCTTCTCCTATCCTGTCATATAAACTGATTCATCTTGTTGCATTCAGTGTTTATCCATTTGACGGTTTCTGTTATTATTGCACAGTTTCTTTGTTATTTTAGGAATAACAATTATTACTGATATAGTTTCTATCCAAGTTGTATGGATAACAAACTCATTTCGCATATCAATTCTTGTGCCTCCGATTCTGACTGGATGTCTTGTAGGTGTGTGCTAGAATATTCATAGTAAATAATTGCAATTATTATTGGTAAAATCCTAACTTTAATCAATTTTTTGTCTATTGAATTAGATTTGACAGTTCTATGTAATTTGGGTGTTCTGAGCACGAATCTTTACACGGTTTTACTCTATCAGATCATGATTTTACTCAACAGCCCTCCTCTTTCGTCGTATTCATCAAAATCTTTCTCTCAATACTCGCTAAGTATTTTGCAGTTACATAATATGAAACGAGAAGTTTATATAGTTATTTGTACCTATTGTTATGTTAGTGTTGTATAATGTATACTTTTGTATGTAACACCATAAAATATTTTTAATTTTGTCATTTTTAACCCATTTAATATTAGTAAATTAAGCCCTAATTTTCTTGAGTGTTCTTGTTTTCTTTAGAATACTCTACAGAACCAACTAAAATATAAAAAAGCGACTCATTTCTGGGGCTAATCAAGTAATTCAATCAGTCAGTTAAGTTTGGGCATTAACATAATCTTGAAGTGCCATAAAATTTGTGAGTAATTTTGTCAGCGTAATTTAATAGTTGATTTAATTAGACGGAATTCATATTGTACCTAATCATTCGTGTTTCTAGTTTAATTTAATATATTGTAAATACATATTTCATAATAAGTCCCTATTTTAAACAATGTTTAGGTTTATATTTCTGATTTTCTGAAATTTATATGAATTAAGGTCTTTAAATACCTTAGCAAACATGCAAAACAATCAAGCAATATATCATCAAACACTAGGAAGTTCAAATACAAAAATAACTATGATTTCTTTTGTTTTTTATGTGGAAATTCTACACTTTCGCATCATCTAGCAAATATAACTTACTTCGTAAAAAGTGCTTACTTAGCTTATTTTTCCATAAAACTGAGGGTGGGGGGGCAAGATAAGCTCCACATAAAACCTCCGCTGTATACATTTTGGAATAAGGATCTCATTTAAATATGGTACATGTTGTATCGAGGTGACAAAATTTGGATACTAGATATTTATTTTTCTTAATAAAGTCTTGAAAAAACGAAAGTAGCAATTGGTCTTGTGATTAGTAAGCAATTGGTCTTCATCTTAGTTGAAGATATTCCTGAAAATACTGAGGAGTCAGACACTGATTTTAACCCCAGCGCATTTGAAAATCAAAACTATCAGCAAAACTATCCGAGTGTTTCAAATACATAACTACAAAATTTCTAAGTTATGAAAAAATCAAGGCCTGAATTTTTGACGGTCCACATGTAAGAATATTAATTAAAGACAGCAATTTTACTAATGTCATAAATGAACGCGAAAATGCCTGATTCTCATTCGTGGACTTGATAGAAAACTTTTTAGTCAATTATAGAGCACATATCTACGAGGAAATCGATAAAAAAATGTGTAAGTGACTACACAGAGTTAGGTCACAATATGATCGTAAAAATGCATTTTTTAAATAGATGTCTTGACCAATTTCCAAGTAATTTAAATGATGTAAATGACGGGCAAGGGGAGAGATGCCACTAAGATGTCAAAATTATTGAGGAACGGTACGAAAGCCGCTGGGATTCCCACATGATAGCTGATTACTGCTGGTGCTTGAAAAGACACCTGCCATCAACAAGCAAATACGCTAGAAAGTTTTGTTAGATAAAATATTGAAAGCTTCATATCTACTTTTTTTATTTTATGTCATTTCTAGCGTTATAATGTAATTTTACAGTAATTCAAATTGCTCGTATTCATGAAACTTGAAAAAAATTAACAAATGACTTAATTTTTTAGTCCTAGTTTGAAAAATCTGGAAAATGACACGAATCAGGACCAGATAGAGCCAAACTGATTTGAAATTCGCATTTCACGCACCCAAATTACTTACAATGTTGCGTCACATATCATTCAATAAATTACGTGTTCCCTAATGAATTCATGATTTATACGAATCTTATAAATGTGCTCTGTGCTTATTTTCTGCAAAATAGAATTTATTTGATCTTGTTTTTAGAAAATGTAAGACACTGTCCGTATCTGAGGGATAAGGGTTAGACACTGTCATCTTTTAGTTTTGAAAACGTTTTCATTTTAATGAAAATTATACCTTGCCTCACTATATTTATCGATGGATGGTCTATAATAATAAATTAAACATGCAGTATCTATCAAATTTAAAGTTATTCCGTAAAATTTTAATGATAAGATAATTTTCACTCTTTCTACTTTCAATGCAAGTTTACACTCAGCCAAAATGATCAATGATATAACATACTCCTCCGGCTATCTATAATCTCTCTGCCCTATTAAAACATAACATATAAGAAAATATCGTGTCCTGCATTTCTTTGATACACGTTAGGTTAAGCGATATTGTAGTTTAGACTAGTGATATCAAAAGGCAGATATTTCGGAGAAGCTAATTCATGAAGAGGCCTACACGAAGCAGGTTAATTGCTATTCCGCATGAAAAGCAATTGTGATACTTTTTGGAAATGGAATAAACATATAAGCTAAGGCAATCAGTAAGACGATCACCTTGTTGCGATAGCGGATAGAAATGCTTACAGATATAATTACTTTTGATAAATGATTGTGGTGATGGAAAAATAAAAAAATTAATAAGAAGAAGACTAAAAAATTTTGTATGGATAATAAAACTCACTAGGCAAACAAAGTCATAGTTCGACCAACCAATTTAAAAGCCTTGACAATCAGGAAGTAACAAAATAAATGAACAAATAATATCAAAAAGAAACTTTTCCCATTTCTAAAAATAGATAGTTCGACCAAACAACCAAAAAGCTTTCACAACCGCGAGCCAATGAAAAGCAAGCGGTCTTTTCCAAGCTGGTTTTATAGATGTATATATAAACAGACGGAAAATCAACGAAAATTAGAGCCGTTAAATTAATTTTGTCTATTTTCCGATGCTGCGATCATCGTAAAATATCCAGAGACGAAATACCAAATTAGCACGATTAACTGGCAACATTGAATATTTTCCTTCGTTTTTAGCGGCTCGCTGCTACTATTGAAAGGAAACAATGGTGGCTAGTGCATAACGATACAAAACATCCAGAACTCCTATATAAAAATAATTACATTATTTCCATCATTCTCTCACGTATGCGCTCAAATTAATAACTACCCTATGATTACAAACAATGCTTGTTTATTCAATTTTGTCTTTCCGATTTTCTGTTGATACGAGTGTGGGCAGAAAAGTTCATAGGCTGACTATGAAGGAGTGACGCTAGAGTTGTGAAATCTTGCATGCATGTATTTCAACTCTTAATATTAATAACCGCATTTTTTCTTTCCAGCGAAACTGGCAACCGATTGTTCATAGAAGCCTTCAAACATAACTGGTAGTGTCTTTTCTTGACAATGAACAAAGTTTGGCATCGTGCTGTTATCAATTACCTGCAGAAAAAGGACATTTATGCTGACATGGTTGTTACATTAGGGGATGACGTCCAGCTTTATCAGCAGTGCCAAAGTGGGTAACTGAATTTAGGAGGAGAAGGGAGTTTCTTTAAGATAACTCAAGGTCTGAACGTCCACCAAGGAAAACATTCATCCCGTTCAGCACATGGTGATAGATGACAGGCAACTGACTATAAATCAAATATCCATAAACACTATATTGTTTGGACTATTGTCCTTATCTTTCTTGTCATGTTCACGACGTTTCGGCTTTTGTGCGCTGATTGGAATTTCGAACTGAACAATTTATTTTGCCACTAGTTCCACGTGCCATGCCTCTGCCGGATGTCAATTTTAATTCCCTTTAACTTAACTCTCCAATTCTTTTTTTCTTCACCACTGCCGTAGCCAGATATTGAACACACAATTTTGGGGTCAAGTCACTAGATCCAACCAACGCTTTTATCCACTGGGTCATGTGTCTTTGAGCATATCACTGTACGAAGTTTTGAGATTTATATATCCAGTCCAAGCAGATGTTAAGCCTGGACCTGGTGAGTTTGTTCGCTAAGGTACCAACGGTGGAAGCCCTATCGGCAATCAGGGACATATTGTCATCGGACTCATCCCTAGGAGAACGGACCAGTATATCAATAGATAACCTGATGTATATGCTCACTTTCTGTACAGAGACAACACACTTTGGAATGGGAGTAGACATATATCGACAGGATGAAGGTTTAGCAATGGGCTCGCCATTATCACCAGCAATGGCAAACATATATATGGAATACTTCGAAGAAATGGCATTAGAATCCACATCACTAAAGCCAGCTGAGATACGTAGATGACACCTTCATACTCCGGTCACACCAGGAAGAGGTTCAGCTACTACTGGAACATGTGAACTCAATAAGATCATCGATACAGTTCACAATGGTGAGGGAAAACGACAACAAACCCGCCTTCTTGGATGTACTAATATCTTGAACAGAGCATGGATTCAAGACATCTGTATACCGCAAGCCAACTTCAACTCCCACCACCCATACAGTGTAAAGAAAAGGATCGTCCGCTGTTTACAACATTTAGCAGAAATCACAAGTGGCGACCCAGAGAATTGGTCAATATAAGCAATACCTTAGAACGTGAAATTTACCCTGGGTACATATGGAAGCAGTTCCGACAAAGTGGGATAGAAGGTTACAATAAAATAACAGCACTCAGAAAACAGCTTCGATCTGACAACCCTATGCGAAAGGATTATCGGAAAAAAGATCTGTAGACAATATAACATTAGGACGACCTTCAAAAGTGGGTCGACACTTCGCTGACACCTCTTCCGAGTAAGACCACGCCTAGAGGAGAACATGACTAAGGACTGTGTGTATGGCATCCCGTATGGTAAGAAATATATAGGAAAAACAGGCCGCCCCTTAAGGTAAGATTGCAAGAACATCGTAAAGCCGTAACACGATGGAGAATAGAAATATCAGGTGCAGCTGACCACATATGGAAGGAAAAGGGAGATCACCGTCCTTTGTGGGATGAGTTTGAAATAAGACAGAGAACAGCACTGGAAAATACGGCAAGTTTAAGGAATCAGCACATATGCTAAACCACAAAAATCTCCAAAGCCGGCCAAATATAAAAATGAATACAATATGGGAACCATTAATACGGAGTGCTAGAGAAAAGTAATAATAACAACAAAATTGCAATACGAGTCTCGTAAAAATAATGATTACTAAAGTATTAAGTTTATAAGTCCCCAAAATTCCTACACTGATGTCCTCAGTGTATAAAAACGTTGACTAACTCTAGTGACTTGATTCAAGGGGTTGTGCATTATTGTAAATTATTTAAAATAATATAATACAATATTACAATATATTACACTCATATGGATACGTGCTGTTGTACAACAGGATGAAAGCTTCTTTATCAATGGGATCGAAGCATTGCAAAATCTCCGTATGAGCGGACTATGGAATATTTTGACGAAAAACAAACGTCATTTGGTCACATTTCATCTTGGTCAGTCTATGAACTTTTTAGCCGACGCTCGTTGCATCGTTGTTTTTGTATTTCACATAACCGTTTGGATAATTTCCCTCGACAAAATCCTTCGATGGAAATCATGTGTTGATTTCACACTTAACATTTGTTGTGGTTTCTTTAACGCAGACAAAGGAATCATAAGTTACTTACGTTTTGTGCATGTTGTACGTGTCTTTCCTGGATGAAATCCTGAATTACATAGGCATATTCCATTGGTACAGTTGCTGTTGGTAACGGCATCTTCGCAATCTTTGTGTTTCACGCATGTAGCATCAAAGATCTTCCGCAATAGACAAGTACCAGCATTTTGTGCATAAAAGCCCGATGCGCATGCGCACAAATGAAATTGACAGCTACTGTTTGCAACTGCACTGAAACAGTCGGGGTCTTCATGGCAAGTGTCACCAATCTTGCGAAGCGTACATGAAGAATTGTCGGATCTTGCCTAAAGAATAAAAAAAAAAAAAAGAATATAATTCGAAGAAGGTAAAGAGTGACTTGCAAACTTTATATCTTTATTAAAAGTAAAATAAAAATAATAGATGAGTGTATTTTGTTTTATATCCTTTCATTCCAAGAAAGGCAGGAGTGCCACTAATACGCAAGGGGGCTACTGGAGAGTGTAAAGGAGAGAAAAGACTGTGTATAGGAAGGGGATTGAGGAAAGGATAACAAATGAACGGGGTTCAAGACAACAGAAGATGGCGATTGACGTTGTATTTAAATTTTTTAAGATTGTATTTATCAGGGAGGCAAGTAAGCGGAAGGGAAATCCATTGTCGGGAAGTGCGAAACTCTTGGAGTAGGAGAGGAAGTATCATTTAATTATTTCAACAGTAAAAGGGTGGCACCTAGATGCCAATCTAGTAGAACGCTTAAATTCCTGTAGTCGGGGTACCAGGGAAAAATCTGGTCAGAACAATTGCGATGAAAATATTTGTAGAAAAGACAGAGGGAAGCTATATCACGTCTGTGAGAAAGTAACTGAAGTCGAAATACCAAATCAGGATCGATTACATTGCAGATCATTCTTTGGATTTTACCTTGAATTTCGAAATGAATAGCAGCCACCAGACCAGATGTGACAACATTATTCAATGCACAGACGAATGGTAGATTTGTAAATGTTCAAGATGGACACTGACGAGAAAAGCCTTCTGGCACAACACATTGAACCAACTTTCCTGCTGTAGATATCAGGAATTTGAATTGATTGAATAAAGGAGAGATTGAGGATTTGTTGTTGTTCAGCACACTCTTGCAGAGTCGCCAATAATCTCTAGAACCGAACTTGCGAGATGCTATACGTTGTTTCATTTTATCAGCAAACAGTAACTTCGCTTCATTGACGACACGCTTGCACTCGTCACAAGCAGAGATTTCATGTAAATTCTTCTTCTATGTATCGGGTCCTTTCAGGACGTTGGCGATAATAACTCTCCAAAATTTGTAGCTCTTAGTAAATTCTGACTTTCCTTTATCTCTCCCAATCCCTGTTCTGCCAATCAAGCTCCTTAAGTATGTAATGCGATGTTCTGCTCTAACCGATTGCGTTCAATTTTCCCTGTGTGCAAAATTTTCTTAGCCGTATTTCCTCATGACGGGAGCTAGAAATTTCAAATGTATCTTTTTGATGTTAAGTATAAGCGTCATTTTTGTTCCCATATTCTCTAAAATTATTCATATGTTCAGTCCATGGTATTCTCGGTAGAAGTACAATTCTTCTAACTCAACTCTTTTCTTCAGCAGTGATTAGATTGTCCAGCATTCACTGATATAGAACGATCGTTAGACAACAGTTAAATACACTTCTCTTTGCTTCGAACAAAACTTTTCTGATTCTTAATACTTTTCATAGCTTCTGGAAGGCATCGTTTGCTACATCAATGCGTCTTTTGATTTCGGCATCGCACTTTCCTAGATATTTACATTTTTATACTTGCTTGATTTTGGCATTTTCAATTTGTAATTTTCATGTCGGGCTCTTCTTTTTGCTGACAGCCTCATATTCTGACATTTTTCGCTTTTCTTTATTACCTTCTCTATGAGTTCTTGTAATTTCTTTTTCAAGTCGGCTATCAACATTGTGTCATCTGCATATATGATGTTAAGATTGTGACCACCAGTAATGAATCCTGATAGGACTTCTCTCAGAATCACCTCAAACTATAGGTTGAATAATTCCTGTAAGAAGACATATCTTTGTCGTACATCTTTTTCTATTTTTTTTATTTATTTAGTGAAATCATTTTCTATTCGCATACAAACAGTTTGCCCCCAGTATAGATTCTGGATCATTTTAACATCCTTCGTAAATATGTTATGTTTATTTAACATTTGTAACAGTTATTTGAGACATACTTTATCAAACACTTTTGCATAATCTATAAAACATAGGTATACATCATTTTACTGATTTGTACTGATAATTTCAAGCTGAAAATTTACTCGATAATTCAATCAATGCTTACACTAATGTAATTAATGCAATTCATTTTAAGTCTTTTAAATAACTTAGCAGAAATTTAGGTAAAAAATGTCAATTCTGTTCTAAGGCTGATAATTTCAATGCTTTTTACATATAAAAGCGTAGAGCATTCCAAAATTTGATCCTGACACGTTGAGACATTAATGCTGATACATCAATTCCGTAGCCTAATGATGAATAAAACATTTAGTATACAATGAAAATTTATTTTCAACATAACTTTCTTCCTTTTAATACACTTAATAGAATGGTGAATAATGCATACACAGTTTGAATATTTAAAAATACAAATAAAACTTCAACCAATATCGACATATCAGATTACGAATATATTGATCGATCCTGTCAGGAAGTTATTAAGTTTTACCATAAGAAATAAATATAGGTTTATTTTTCCTAAAATTTTACAAAATGACTTTTCTCTTTTATTTGCTAGGATTCTTCAGAACATTGACAATCATGGCGTTTTACACCTTCCTGTCTCTTGTTGTTAAAGGTACCATTTGACACTTTATCGTCTTCCTGTGTTTCCGCTCTGCTATTCATCAAACCAAAATAATTGCGTAGGTTACTCGCCGTTTCCCTATGCGTCTTATATTTTCCAGACCCTTTTTTTCCCAAAATTTACTCCAGAAAAGTCAACTATTCTCCGATTTTAAATATTCTTTTTCTAGTGTCTGCATCCGTTTTTCATGTTTCAGTACTTTGTGCTTTATATTTCTTACACACATTAATTTAAAGTTTTGAACTCGACGACGCCCGTATGCATCCTGTTTTAATATAGTAAGATTCCTGTGATGTTTAACAATATTACCGCCAGTTTTTCCCATTAACTTTCAAACATTTCCTCTTATCTGACCTACAGTTTTCGTATGAATAAGTGCTTAAAAACTTTTCATATATTAAATATAATAATAAAATAACCAGCACTTTCCATGTATATTTATTGAGCCTTTGATAAATAAAACTGAATCAATCTGGGTATTTTCAAGGTCTCAGTAAATTGCTTGTTTCAGTTTAGCAACAATTATTAAATTTTAAGCAGATGCAAAACAACTCATAGAATTTGCAATGTGTAGAAATAATAAAAAAATAAAGACGTCAGGTTGCTTCATAAAGTGATAAGCTGTTGATGGTGATAATTTAACGAATCAGGACAGCTGAAAACATAATCCAAAAGTAACTTCGATTTACAAGAATAGGTAAATAAATACCCTGTTAACTGCCTTTCTAAATCGAAAGCTTTTTTGTAAATTTTCACTCAATACAAAGCCCAAGAAATAGTCAAGGTCAAAGGTTACTAAATGAAGTTGTAAGGACATAAAGGAAGGAACAAGAAATGCATATTATGAGGATATATAAGATAGAAAACAGTTGAACCTATATTTGAAGAGATTAACATTGTAGTGGTCGAGAAAGCATCCCCTCGGGAGTTGGATCCACAAAGGAGTGGTTCTCAAGAAGAAGTGGAAATTTTTCCTTGCCAATGATATACGAAGGGAATGAGGATAATTCAACCTTTTGTATGTGGGATGTTCGGTCCTAGCTCTGAAGAGTTGAACTGGTGAAACGAAAGAAAGTAGCTTTTATGGACATCTGCCATGAAAATAGCGATAGAGTTGCGATAAGCTTGCAACGTTCCATCTATGGGGGAAAGGGCTAGAGGGTTGAAAATAAATCCGCGTAAACCCATTTGAATTCTGACTAGGTTTGTAAGTGAGGATTTGGCAACGCAAACTCAGATATGACAGCAATAATCCATATTTGGTTTAATTTTACTCTTGTAATGATAGTGCATGTCAAGTGGTATCAGGGACCGATCGTTGTTCATTATATTTAGCGTTGGATCGTATATACTCATCTCACATTAGGCCTGGGGTGAACTTGAGTTTCAATAGTCGTTCATGGTAATGATCTTCATTGAGAGTACAACCGCTTATCATGGCCAAAATTCAGGTTCTGTTCAATGATGATGAAACGTTACTAACTTTGTTTTGGAGACATTTAAAGATAGGAGCCATGTTTTCCACCGTTAAGCTGTTAGAGATAGGCCAGAGAAGAGATCAGCTACTAGCATCTTATCATTTTATTTTTTGAGGTGCGTCACTACACTGTGGTATCATCTGCATCGATATTTACTAATAATCTGTGAAACGTTAATATAAAGCAGATCCAGGGTAGGACCAAGTAGAGAAACGCCTGAAGTCAAACTATTCAAAATATCTGAGAGTGACACATCTTTGTCTTTCTTATTTGTTACGTATCATATATCCCTGAACATACGAGAAAACGGAAATATGGAAGAATTACACAACGGTAACTTGATAATTAAAAGAAAGGAAAAGAAAGTCTGCATAACTCTGACAAATAGGATTTATGAAAATAAGAGAATTATAGAATAACTTGTTAATTTTAACACTTCCAAAACGAAACAGCTCTTTATTAATCAGCATGGCTGATGCTAACCTCCAGGAGAGTAATTCGTTGCGACTTCTCGAGCTAACATTCTCAGCTGACATGAAGTGAGAATACTATGTTGAATCCACTTGTAGATTACCTGATAAGAATAATGGTTCACTGTGTCTTGCTAGAAAAATTTTCTCTCTAGGATGCATCTTACATATCTATAAGTCGAAAATTCGTTCATGTTTAGAATATTGCTGCCATAAAAAGTCCGGTGTTCCTGCTACATATTTAGAGATCCTTTATAAAATTTAAAGTAGAATTAGCAATGTTATTGGTCTTGGCCTGGCGTCTCGGCTTTCAGCCTTCCCACTGTCGTAATGTGCATCCCTGTGACCTTTTTATAAATACTTTCATGGTAATTGTTTGGATGAATATTGTGGTATATTTGGGACAGTGTTTCTGGCCAGCTAAGTTTAAATTTAAGTCAGATGAAGACCGTTCTTTTCACCATTCCTCATTTTGGTCTTGTGCCATATTTTCTGTACATAACAAAAATAAAAATCGCTCTGGCGACGAGGTTTCATCAAACTACAGTCAAGTTGTTTAGATTTAACCGTAAGTTCTATTCTAAAAGTTTCTTTTCTCGCACTTCTCGCTTGTGGACCTCTTTTCCGGTTCTATGCTTTCCAGTCAACTTTAATCTTCAAAACGTTAAATGTAATATAAATCGCTATCTACTGTATTCTTGGTCACTCTTCTATTGTTCTTGCTTCTTAGCAATGTTTCTGTTTTCTATTTTTCCCACACCTTGTAAACCCATGTGTTTTAGTGGCTTTACTGCTTTGCCTGGAGTGAACTCGATAAAAAAAAAATTAAAAAGAATAATACTTAAGCCAATTTCAGCTGTTCACTCTATGCTTACCTGGAATCCAAGATTGCATAAACAGACACCGTTCGTACAATTGCTGTTATCAACGGCTGCGCTGCAATCGGCGTCTTTCTGGCAAGTCTCGTCGTAGATTCGTCTCAATGTGCATTTGCTTTTGTTATCAGCACCGTGGTAGCCTTCCAGGCATAAACACGTATTATTCCGACATTCACTACGAGGCACGGCCGCACTGCAATCAAGATCCGTCACACAAGTGCGATCGCCCAGTTTCCGACGGAGACATTTGGTCCCAGATTGGTTGGGATGGAAGCCGGCATAGCATGTGCAGGTTCCGTCCAAACATTCACTGTTTGATACAGCGTCACTGCAGTCAGAGTTGGTCTGACAAGTCGAATCCCCAATGCGACCTTTAAAAGACACAAATGTAACATGCATATTAAAAGAAAATCAGGTATTTTAAAATCAAGTATTAATCAACATACTGTTTACAAACTGTTCATTGTAAAACAATATACGAGTTACAAATCGTATATTTTATTACAATATACGGGTTACAAACGGTACCTTATGAAAGAGCATTTTCGTTCCCACATATTTCAGTTGATATGAGTTTAAAATATTGAAATCTCGTAAAAAATAGAATTAACATCAGAGCGAAAATGGAAGAGACTTTGAAAGTTTATCACGGAATACAAAAACGATAACATACACGTAAGTTTACTATAGTAAGTAATAAATCATTTTTATTAAGCAATTTTAAATGTCAAACAGCTTACAATGTATCTCCAACATATTTTTTCGAGTAGAACAAATTTAATTATTTTAAACTACAAGTAATTTTTATATTAATTTTGTATGTAATCTTTGAGAAATAAACAAAAATTACCATTATAAATTATTTGTTTTGGTCCTTTAGTGATGTGAAAAACAAAATAGAGATTAAGAAATATGAATACTTTCGAAAATATTTGATTTTTACTTGGAATCTGGCATTTTAAGACGGATACAAAAAATGATCAAAATTTCTAACACTTTTTTGGTGAAAATAGTTTTGAATGTTGATATTATTCCATTTTGGTTGCTTTCGTTTTCTGTGAACCTATAATTTGCAATTAAATATACAATTAAGAATTGAGATATATGTAATTGTCAGTCATACGGTGAAAAGTATATTATCAATAAATTACTTAAAAACCAAAATCGTTTCAGAATGCTAAAAATATCTACCCTCTTGAACAGAGAGCAGTTTTCAATTTTGATTTCTAACCATAAAACTGTTTTAAAAATGTAAATACACTGAAACGTTTTGAAATTTACGCGTTACTGTTAGACTCTACTGTAAATTAAATACTTATATTATTAAATATAAGGATTAATTTACAGTAATGATTAAAACGTTAATTTCAAATTTACATGAAAAAGAATCGCTTGTTGGATTTATGTCAAATTCTCACTGAAGTATTGTCTGAGATGAGATATTGTAATTATTTACACTATTTACATTGTTCGGATTGTTGTTCTCATCTTTGTTGCCATATTCACAACGTTTCGGCCGTTGTAAGCTCCGGCCTTCTTCTTTAGGCGATTGGAATTTCGAATTGAATACTTTATTTCGTCCACCAGAGTAGATTGTACAATGTACAGCGTACAACGGCCGAAACGTCGTGAATATGGCAACAAAGATCAAAACAGTCCGAACAATGTAAAGAGTGGAAATAACAGACTTTTGGTAACAGAAAACCTGTTCAGAAGCATCAGTATAAAGAATAAGTTTTAAAACGTATATTATCAAACATATAAATGATAAGGTTTGTCTAAATATTGACATTATGATGAATGTTTATAATTTTTTAATGATGATTCTATGATGCGAAAACAATGAGTCAGCGAAACATTATGCGCTATTTCTGTCTATTATTGGCATATTTGTGCGTAGTAAAACAAAACCAAATTTTGGTTGTTTTGACCGATAAATACACTGAAACAATTTGTAAGTAATTTCTGAATACTTAAGCATTAATAGGCAGTAACCACACTATTTGCTAGTTTCTTCAATATTGGTACAATTGGGTCATTTTTCTACGTCGTACTATCCAGGGTAAAGCCCAAAGTATGCCCGTTTTTTTTTCACAGTTTCACCCTGTACAAGTCCCGGGGGACACTCGATGTAGAGGGTTACGTTAGGAAACAGTTTGTATGGATAGGAGAGGAAGGTAACGGTTAACCCTGGACTTGATTGTAGTGATTGGGGAAAAATCCTCTTGGGAGTCGGTTCTACAGAACAATGGTTCACGGGAAGAAGCTGTTCGAGTGGAAATTACTTCTTACCGATGGAATACGGAGGAAATGTGAATGATTTTCTACTATGTAAGTGGCATGGAGGGTGTTTGCCGTGAAAGTTAGGCGTTGGGGAACCAAAGAATATCGTTCATTCAAGCAATTTTGGGGGTTGAAAATAATTTGTCATCCACAAGGTCTTGGAGACACTTGGGGGCTCTGTAGAGGCTGGAGAGTACGGTCTGTGCACCTCCCACCCAATTTTTTTATTCTAGGCTAAAGCTATTTTTATACTCGGGGTATAAGATAGACTAGTATATACCCCATCTTTTTTTCACGTAATAAAATATATTTTATACACAAATGCTCGACGGGAGTCATGCAGTGTCACACAATCGCAGATATTTTTGTGTGCAATCAGCAGCACTAAACTTGTTCTATGTTCTTGATTTACATATTAATATACCTAACTACTGGTTGCCTACTAATTATGGTCAGCCATTCCTGATTACTCTTGAAGCAGTTCATATCAGCCATCATTACTCATTTGTAGATTGGAGCCGTCTCATAATATTCAAATTAAGAAAAAAACACTTGCTCACATTGATAGGAAAAGTGAGTATGAACTGACATCGGGGTTAGAGTCAATAATAAGTTATAATATAATTCTATGTACAAAGTAATCTATCCCAAATGATAAATCGGGTATATTCTGAGTTGTCAGTCCGCTGAAAGTTATAGATAGAAATAAAGAAATTAAAAGAAATTTACTGAAGATAACAGAATTTAAGTGAAACAAGTTTTCTCAATCATTTTTGTGAATGAATAATAGTAAAAGGCGGCGATTAATTGCTCAATTTCTCTAAAAGTTTTACTATTTTTAAGTGATAACTAAAGCATTTGTTTTTCATTGCAATAAAATGGCATCACTTTGTATGCTAGACGGGATGGTTAGGCAACGTTGAAATGATTTGACCTCGTTTTACAGTAGTAAACTAATTTAATAAGTTTTTCAACAAAGAGATGAGATTTCTGTCTATTAATACCAAATCCCCATGAAGATATAGAAAGATTTATTCGAAAAGTTAAAACAATTTTCGTATGTAATGACAAAAACAATGAAATATACAAGAGTGGTGATATGGTAGATACATTTTCATAGCACTACCTACGGTGCAAAAGAATGTGAACTCAATCAGACAATCATCCTAACGAACCATATAACACAACTTATCATCCAAATTCTGATAAATAGGGCAGAAGAATTAAACCGAAAATAGGACAAGAACAGTGCGTATTCTTTAAAGACACTGGAACAAGGAATGCGGTATTTATGCTCAGAATCATATCAGAAAGAGTAATACAATCAAAAAACGATGTCTACTAATATTTTATAGATTATGCAAAAGCGTTTGATAAAGTACGCCACAAAGAACAGTTGGAACTGCCAGATAACCTTTGCATATTTAGGAAGGATATTAAAATAATCCGAAACCTACGCTGGGAGAAAACCGCAAGATTACAGATAGAAAATGAAATCAGTAAATATACAGAAATAGGAAGGGATGTGAAACAAGTATGTGTTTTCTCACGGGAATTATTCAACCTATATAGTGAGGCGATTTTGAGAGAATTAATAGTCCTAACATGGTACATTATTGGCGATCATAATTTTAACAATATAAAAAATGCAGATGACACGGTGCTGATAGCAGACACAGAAGAGAAACTACAAGAAACCACACAGAAGTTAATGAAGAAGCAAACATTTGGAAGAAGAGAGAATGTATATTTGTTAGTGTTGTAGCCTGCCTACGGACGATAATGGGTATGTCCCCATTCACATAGATACAGTAGTTAAATACTGTATGTTGGTCTTCAGTTGGAGATTCGTCTCCAGCTGTGCTGGTCAAACTCTCTGACTCCGGGCAGGGAGGATCTCCAGACGAGGCTATGTCGAAGGGGAGAGTATCGTCTCGGGAAACAGCTACCCGACCTCGGAATCTACGGTGAAATGTTGGCTGAGCCTACGGGCTTGGATACTCCACATTATATTCACCCTTGTGTCACATCTGACCGCGTGGGGCGGTTGGTAGATATCCTGCAGTTGGAGATACATTGTGGAATTCACTGGAATCACTTCTAATAGTTGTCTACTTCTATATGCCGCTGGTTAATTTTATATGTATTGTTCTTGTCCTAACAATTATCCTTCATTACCTTCCTTAGTTTGATTATACTATTCAGTAACCTTCCTTAGGTTACAGATGTTAGCAACCAAACATGAAAATTACAAATTGGAGATGCCAAAATCTAAAAAGTAAAACAATCTTCTGGGAAAATTTTAACATAAGACGGAAATTGCAACTTCGAAATCCGAAGGTGCACTGGGATAGCGAAATTGTCTTTAAAAAGCAAATAAAGTATTAAGAAATAGGAAAATTTTCTTAGAGACACAGAAAAAAGCACTGAACAGTTAAATATCATCTGTCCTCCTATATGACAGTGAATGCGGAACATGCTCCTCACAGATGAAGAAGAGACAACAGAAATGTGGTCCTAGTGGAGAATGCAGAGAATACCATGAACCGCAACGACGAACATTCAGAGGAAATGGAAACAAAAAAGACATTTATACTTAACATCAGTAATGGGAGTTAAAGTTTAAGGACACATAATAATGAAAGACGGCTTGGAAAATGTGTCACACACAGGACATATTGAAGGCAGGAAGGGCAAAGGAAAATAATGCATCATCATCATTTGTCGACCGCAGTCTAGATCATCGTGCCAAGGCAAACGATCTTCTCCTTTAACTATATAGTATGTGCTATGACAGGGCTACATACAGTTTTGAATTCAGAATTACTTCACTTAGACCGGTTACCACCCAAGGCCAAAGAACCCAGTCTCTCTTGCTATTTACCCATAGGATTTATACATTCCGTTAGCATGTAAGTGAATATAATGGATCCGACTGGAATTCGAACTCGGCCTTCCGCTATCCATTACTCCACCGCATAACCATAAGCTTGTGTAAATGGATGAGAGAACACGGCTTAGGAGAGATAACAAAAATACAATTTATTAAGAGCTACAAAAGAGATTAAAATTTCCTAAGTGAATGTTGGCGGTTATGGACATCGAAGATACTTCACTTCCTTTCTTCAGCACGTAAATATTTTAACTTTATCTAATGCTGCATAACTTGGAATTATTTGAAAAAGATCATTACTACAACTTGCTAGTGGATTTCCAATGCAAATACTTTTGAAAATGTTTATAACTCATTATATTTTATATTTATATATTTTATATTATATTTTATATTATATTTTATATTTATATTTATAAAATAGTATAAAAGACTAGATTCTTACAATTAAATACCAGTAATTTGTAAACATACTCACGTTTTGTACACTTTCCGCCGTCATTTGTGACTTGGAACCCTGATAGACATGTACACACCTCCATTGAACAGTTGGCATGGGGCAATGCATCACTGCAATCTGTAACCAATGTGCAACTGTCTCCAATTAACCTCTTGGTACATTTTGTTGCATTCATTTCTGTTTTAAAACCAGTGTTACACATACAAACACCTTCTGTGCAATTACTATTTGCAACGGACTCTGTGCAGTCGCGGTCCACTGTGCATGTACGATCTCCAATACGACGTGCAGTACAGGTGGAATTATCTTGTGACACTTGGTAGCCAATATCACATTTACAAAAACCCTGGCGGCACTCGGAGTTTGGAACAGCTAAACGACAATCCTTCAATCGTTGACAAGGATCATACATTTTTCTCAGACGACAAGCCATCATAGCCAGGTGTGGCATGCGGCCCCCTTGGCATTGACAAACACCTTTGATACATTCGCTCTTCAGAACAGCTTCAGTGCAGTCTCGATTCGTTTCGCATGAATCACCAATAATCCTCAAAATGCAGTTTGTTTGGTCATCAGAAGATCTGTACCCGGGAAGACATTTACAAACACTATTAATGCAATCGCTGTGGTCAACTGCGTTCACGCAGTCTGAGGTCTGATCGCAAGAATCTCCAACCATCCTCAGGATACATCCGGTGAGGTTATCATTAGCACGAAATCCAGAGAGACACACACACGTACCGGAGATGCACGTGCTGTTGCCGACGGCGTCAGTACAGTCAGTGTTCACATTACAGTTTTCGTCTCCTAGTTTTCTTTTACGGCATTTCGTGAGATCGTTCGACGGGTGATATCCCGAAATACACTGGCATTGTCCTCTCGTACAGTTGCTGTGATGGACAGCCTCACTGCAATCATGATCGACAGCACATGTCCAGTCGTATATCTTTCTCCTAATGCAACGTGTACCTGATTCTTGAGGTTGGTACCCAGCCCTACACGCACACATCCTGCTATCACACCAGCTGTCTGTTATGGAGTCAGAGCAGTCGACATCAATCATGCATCTATCTCCGATCGCACGTTTGCGACAGCGACGGTTTTGGTCAACTACGCGAAAACCAGACTTACACTGACAAATTCCCTCGACACACAGACTGCCATTGACAGCGTCAGAGCAGTCTGTAGGCAACTTACAAGTCGCGTCTCCGATACGCCTTTTAATACAAAGGCTGCTGCTTGCTTCGGCATTATAACCTGAGTTGCAACTACATACCCCAGAAGAACAATTGCTATTCTGAATTGCAGCAGCACACTCTTCATTAATTAAACAAGTTGCTCCGATGTAGAGTTTTTCACACTGGAACAAGTCTGGTGATTCTCTATAGCCAGTGATGCATGCACAATTCCCATCAAAACATTGGGAGTTTGGTACAGATGCTGAACAATCCTCGTGGTTGCTACAAAGGTCTGTGATTGTGAGGCGTCTGCAGATGGTACGCTCGTCGTTGTGCGTGTAACCCCGAAGACAAGTGCAGCGTAACTGTGGACAATGGCTATGGCTCACCAACATACACTCTTCATGTCTCAAGCAGAGATCGCCTATTTTGCGAGGCTTACATTTATCACTTTCTCTGGATGAATAGTGAGTGGGTACACATCGACATTTTCCCTCGATACATTGACTGTGCTCAATGGCTTCTAGGCACTCGTAACCGCTCGAACATCGTGAGCCAATCTTACCTGAAGTGAGAAAAGACAATATAATAGAATACATTCGGATGAAAACAAAATAAATGACTAAATATTTGAAAATCGTTATAAATGTTCACACACAGCGATACAACTAAGAAAATAGATTATACAGGGTTTCAACGGAATGGGACCGTAAAGCTGAAAATTAAGAAACTCTTAGAATTTTAAAAAAAATTCCATGATGGTAAACAGTGGGTCGTAAAAATGAATACTTAGTCTTGATTTCATAGTAATAGCTTATTCATTTGCTGGAAATTAAAAGATCTACCCTGTAACATAACACACGCCACAGGGGCATGTATATGTATATATATGTGAACTTATATTGTGAGTTGGTATGGATGGCCTAGAAGGGTTTGAGAGAGATAGTAAAAAGACAACATTTATTAAGAGCTACAAAAGAGAGGATATTGTGGAGAGCCATGTTCGCCAACGTTCTCAATGGATATATATATATATATATATATATATATATATATATATATATGTGTGTGTGTGTATCATAAATATATATATATATATCACACACACACACACACACACACACACACACATATATATATATATATATATATATATATATATATATATATATATATATATATATATATATATAGTACAGTTAATAAATCCAAAAACTACGCCAGTCTTTTTCAAGCCGAGTGTATAAACTGTGTTCGGAATTAGAAATTTCATATATCACATATATATATATATATATATATATATATATATATTAAAATACTAAGAAAGAACAGTAAGATGTACAATCTGCTGTCCTTGTAATTATCTAATTATAATAAGAATGCTCTATACAAAACTGTAGGGCATAATATTATAATTATTTTCTATTTTAAAAATATGGTTCCATCGCTACACAGGAATTACTACGTTTCAAAAGAGAAACTAAAATTTTAAATTTAATTATAAAATTAAATTTAAAATCCATCGTCAAGGGATTTTTGGAATAACCTATTATGAAATTTACTTCCTTTATAAGCAAAGACAATCTTAATATTTTACAGAAACACAGTGCGAGATGGATAAGTTGCCATCTAAATTACGCAAAAATGAAAATAACACTGACATCTCATTTTCACAGATATATTTACCAAAATTACCCAAAAATATGTTGAAATTCTAAAGAGTAAATTTATTCCATAAAATCGCCATTGGATTCAACCGCGGCCTACAGACAACTTTGAAATCTCTTGCGACACTTCTGGTCGGTCACCTTGTTTCAGTTAGTGAATGCTGCTATAATCCTGTCTTCAATTCATCTTTTATTTTTTCAACTGCGCCCATGCATAATAATCAAGTATGTTGCAGTCCGTGGAGTAAGGTGTGATCGCAGAAATTGTTTGAAAGCCTTGACTATGTTCTCTTGATTGTGTGGCATGCTGCACAGTCTTGTTGCCATACAGAGGGTCTTTCAGTTACGAACCTCTTGACCCAGAGCAGCACCGCCTCCTCAAGGCACTTGATATAGGTTCTCCTGTTGAGTATTAGTCCCTCACCTACAAATTAGGGAGTTCTTTTCTTATTAGAATGAAAGTGAGATTTCTGAGCCGCCGCAGCTTCGTAATCACCATTAAACCCCTCCAACACTTCCAAATTATCTGCACTGTCCTCAGATTGACATTCACACACTCTGTAATGTTCGTATTGGAGTTTCCGGCGCGAATGCCAAGCAGAACAGCATGTCGTTTCTAAATTTTATAGCAGGGTAATTTGCTTAATGGTTCTCTTTTTCTCGTAGATAGTGCCCAACTGACACTACCATACTGTGCAGTCGTGAAAAATCAAAAACATATAACGCACATGCGCGAAATTAAAAAAAAAAAGTGGAAAATTTAGCCTGTATATATAATATGAAATGAAACAGTATGCAAGTTATTATTTTTCTTAAACATCTGTCTCTATTTCTGAGATTAGGTATTTTAATTATTTACACTATTTACATCGTTCCTATAGTTGATCATATATGGAAGGAAAAGTGATATCAACACCCTCTATGGGATGAAGTTGAAAAAGTGAACATTACTGTAAAATACGAAAACTCAAGGTATCAGGGCATATTTTAGGCCACAAAAATCTCCTAAGCCTACCAAGCATAAACATGAATACAATATGGGAACCAGTAATACAGAGAAGTAGATAAAAGCAACATTAAAAATATAATATGAGCTCGAGTAAAAATATGTTTGATCATATTTTCACAATAAAATTGGTATTAAAAAATCGATGCTAGTAATATTCCAAGGGATTAATTATATTTGTATGGTAAGTACACCATGTGAATTTCAATTCCTCATCATTCTTCTAACCAGATGTAGTCGCAGGGTCGCTGTAACGCGTCTTTGGCAAAGTAGACCTGGCGAATCCCATCCCTCACCAGGTAAATTTCAGCTGATATATACTTACTAAAAATATTTACTATGATTTTTTTGATAGCGTGAGATTTTCTGATGGAACTCAAGTTGTTCGTTATATCTTAAATATTTATCATTGTATGATATTTTATATACGGTACCAATGAACACTGATGGTTATGTCCCAATTCTCATAAAAACGTTGCACACTAATGTCTGGGAGTAATATGCTGTCTAAGTAGTCCACCACTAACATTGGTTTACCTACTTCACGCTGCTGGCAAGTATTTTATTTTGTTAATTTTATAATGATTACCATTTCATTTCCAAACTCCGTTTTAGTTATTCCTCATTCAGTAACACTTTCTCGGTTACAACAGTATAGTTAGTGATAATTATTTTTTTTATAGTACATTTATTTTTACAAGGCCCGATAGCCATTCCAACTAGATTGTTACGTTAGGGGGCAATTTGTATGGATAGGAGTGGAAGATAACGTTTAACCCTAGCTTTGAACGAGTTAAGATTGTAATGATTGGGGAAACTTCCTCTTTTGAGTCGCTTCCACAAAGAAGTAGTTCTTGGGAAGAAGCTGCTCGAGTAGAACTTACCTCTCACCGATGGAATACAGAGAGAATGTGGATGGTTTGCTATTATATAAGTGACATGGCGTGTCCTTGCAGTAAAGGTTTGAATTAGCGGAACCAAGTAATATAGTTCGTCCGGGCAGGTTCCGTGCAAGTAGCGACAGGGCAGCGAGAGGATTGCCATATCTCACCCGTGGAGGCGGGGGAGGTTGCAGATATAATGACATAACATCAAATGCGAAAAATCTTATTGTCAAATATAAATTGTAAATATTTTCATGATAGGGACAAGAAAATAAAATGAGTTTCAAGAAACTCAGAAAAAGGATTTCAGGATAGGGAAAAACATATTATGAGGACGTGAAAGATATATATCGATTGACTGTTCTTAAAGGCACGATCATTTCCACTGTCACGAAAGTATTCTTTCGAGATTTTGTTGCATAAAGTAAAAGTTTTCGTGACGAATCTGTCTGAGTAGAACTTACACCTTATCAAAGGAACACGAACGGAATGCGAGTGGTTTGCCAGCACAGTCGTGACATGGCTGGTCGTAGCTGTAAAGGTAGCTGGTCTGGTCTAAGGAAAAAAATATAATTCGTTCAAACATTTGCCATAGCAATAGCGACAGTGAAACTAGCAACATTTGTCTGTGGGATAAGGGTTGGGCATGGCGGAGATTAATTCATTAAGCACAATGGCGCGTGATCACTTTTGAACTTTGTCGAGGCTATACAGTATGAATCGGGCGGCACCACCCCAGATAGAACAGCAATATATCATTCTTATCATTCTTATTCAATATATCATTCAATATATTATTCTTATCTGACTCTTGTAAAGATAGAGCATGGCAACAGGAGTATCTTTTGTAGTGGCACGAATATACGTGTTTCATTTGAGCTCGGGAGTGATGCCCTAGACTCAGTAGTTGTTCGAAGGAAAGAGTCTCTTTGGGGCTATCACCACTCATCAGGAAGGTTGCAGTTTTACAGTCTGTTCAGTAGTGATTAAATGTTACTAGTTTAGTTTTGGATGTATTGAATTATACCAGTCAGTCTTACCCATACACTGTAGCATCGTATACATGTAGCAATCCATTGTACCACACCTTTTCAAAGGCCTTCTAAGGGCGATCATTCTTGATATAGTTTTATTATCAAGCGTTTCATCGATTCTATGCGTGATAGTAGTTAGGACATCAGCAGTAGTCCCAGAAAACCAAAAACGATACTGTTTGTCTTGCAGGAGTTTGTCTTTGTTTAGGTTTTCAACAATTTCTTGTTTATGACAGCTTCAAAATGTTACTAATGCGGCTAATTGGACTATATGCTGACGAGGACGATGGCTCAGCTTCAGGACGCGCACTAAACACTAAAAAGATTGTGTTGCGAAGGTAAACAAGAAATAGATGTAGAATATTAACAAGGATTGAAGACATGAAAAAAACAAATAACCATCGTTAATTAATCATTAAGAGAACAGTGTAAGAGGGGGAAGAAGTATAAGAAAATAGATTTATCATAAAGATTTGTTAGTGATGAATGCGGAACTATATTGGATGGAACTAATCTAGATGTTGAATCCTTTATGGAAATAATCAACCAACATGATTTAAAAGAAAATACGTATGGTAGAGTCAGTTTTTGCAGTAGTAATGAAAGCGGTAAAATTATAAATCTCATCAGAGTTTATGGTGGAATCAAGAAAATGCAGAGAAATTTTGGGAATTATTGCGTAAAAGATTGCTAAATAGTACAAGATACAAGGAAGAAGCTTTAAGCTAAAAACAATGCTTCTTCACATTCTGCAAATTTGACAATTGCTTACCTATAAGTATTCAAAAATTACCGTATTAATGGAATAGGTCCTAGCTTCACCACATTTTAACCCAATAGAAAATACGTAGATTTTAATAGGCATGTACACTGATGTACCAAAAGTCATAGGTCAGGTGCCTAGTATCAAGTAGGTCCTTTTTAACCAGGCGATATGTTGTAAATCGATTTGTTATCGGGTCCAGAAATGG